ATTTTAATTAAGAAAATGACAGGGATCGTTAGACCGACTCTGTTAACAGAGGTAATTTCGTAGATGTAAGACGGTAATAACCACGTAATCTCGCTTTCATTTCCGTCCGGCATTAACCGTAAAAGATTGTGTATTCCTGCATGATTACATCCAACTGCAAACCTAGCACGTACACGGCCGACTATGAAGAGAAGCGTACGAATAGTTCGTATTCCTCTCGTGGACGCATCGTGTTGTACATCAGGAATACTAAAAACCTTTATCATACAATTTACGATACAAAAAGTACTAACTCGAGCTAAATACAAGTAAAATAAATTAGCAAAGTGGATAGGGCTGTTTTTTGCGTTCCATTTCTCAAGCTTCCGTCTCTTCGGAGTGAAATTATTTCGTTTGAAAATAAACAGAAATTCAAACTGATATTGCCCATGGGACCTATCAATCTCGCGGCGATGATGGTACACGCTGTAACATTGGAAAATTTAATTACGAATATGTATTCGCAATTTTACTCCCGTATTACAGTAATCCACATTTCACAATATTTAAAATGACATTAGAATTAAACGTGCATACGTGAGCCGATACGATCGAAGAAGTTAATTGAAAATTTAATAATAAATTTATATCATTATACGATTCGAACGGTGGGGCGATTATAATCCTGAAAGGATTAATGGACTGAAATTTCGAATAGTTGGGCGAAATTTAATCGGAGCAGGATCATCATAAATCGTTGCGAACAGGTGACGATTAATTTAATCATCGGTTCGTGCTAATCGTGATTAGTCAAGTAGAGTGAAACTCGCGTACGCGTGTAAAGACAACTACCGCGATTCTAAGGTGCAAATAAATAGACTTTGATTACGATTTTAGCGTATTCCAGCAAATGTTTTGGTTCCAATTTAATGCCCGGGCTATATAAAATTGGGGCAAAGAAATATTGATTGCGATAACATCCATTCTTCGGCGTCAGAGCCCGTCACGAGCACGCCAAACGCATTGTTCAAAATAAACGTGTTATGTCATGTGACGAGCAATAATTTAAATATGCACCGATATATATATGCTATTTCATATCTCTACGTAGGCAAAATAATTCGATCAGTGTCGTGCCATTGTAATCTGCGCACTGAAGGTTCTTATGTTACCACTTCAATCGCGCATGCTCCTAAATGGGTTAATGGATGTTCGATCAGATCAATATGATTCATGGGGTTGTTAGAGCGAATTATGCAAGATCTGGTATTAGAGGATTCATGCCCAATGACTGAGTAAATCAATAGAGCTTTGACAACGTTTACATATGTTATATTGGATATCTGTAGAAATGGGCAAATTGCATTCGCGAGCTGTAGCAAGTAAATCAACGGGTTACCGTCTGTTGTACTGTTTCATAAAACAAACACCCAACGCTACACTGTTCTACAAAAGTACTGTTAATTGATACTATACGACCTAAGATTTTTCCATAGTATTGTGTAAACGTCAAAGAGAAAGGTGACTCGATATGCATGTATAAGAGCAGTATTCATTTCCCTATTTGCAGCATGCGTGGCACTCTTACCTATGCGAATGCACTTCGCTGACTCCGGCTTTGTACATTCCCCTGGCACAGCCTGAATGGTGCCTATTGTGAAAATGTAACGAAGCATCGCCTAAGCGACTTCTGATGTTCCATAGACAACTGATCCATTCTTGTTTAATTTCCTGCGTGGAAAACAATACCGATGGCGTTGCGAGTCTAATTTTCAACTACCAGTAATGTGAAAAGGCTGGCGTTAACGTAGGAAATATGTTTCTTATTCGAATAACAATTGTTCGGTGGGACAGTTACTTATCGAGATTTTATCTAAATATTCGTTCGAATAATGTACTCGTTACTCATTAACGAATTAAATATGTTATAAAATTACTCCAAGATAACACTCGTGTTTCAAAAATAAAATTGTGGCGCTACTGGCTGAGGGTTAGGATCTCGTGAGAATCGTAGGAGGACTTTATAGCAACCGGGGGGGGTCGGTCGAGCGCTTGTGAGAGCGTGACCCCTCTGGTGGCGAGCATAAGAGGCGACGCCACAGAACTGAAAATAATACTTGGAATATTTAAAAAAAAATTTTACCAATGGTAATTGCTTCCCTTTGTAATATGTAAAAGAAATACTTGTAATAATTGTTTGTTGATTCCCAGCTTGAAATATAATAAAGGAAAATTCTCAGACAAAATATAACGTTGTAATAACATTATCGGAACGTCGAGATCTGATACTACAGCGAAAAATTTCATTATCGATCACCGTTTTATGTTTAATATAAATACCGCTGCGTAATCAAGTCGTGAATATCAACTTACTCGCTTTGTTAACTCGCAAACGCGCAATAACAGGAAATACGTATTCGCGGCTGTTATGTATTATTACGCAACTATCTGCAACCTATATGGGTCATACTATGGACAATCTCGTTTCAATTGCACGATAGTACAACGCACCGTTAACGTTTAATCCGTCGCAAACAGACGAACGTATTTTATGATTGACCGATGGAGATTTTAAAGGGATGAGTCATGGAAAAAAATAATGAGATTTAATTACGCGACTCCGTATGCTGAGAAACACTGTAATGGAGGCGAATTACATCGTGCCACTTTTCCGAGATTGGCCCCTCCATTTTACATTTACATGCGTGTTGAACGTACAGCGTAATTATACGCAAACTTCCAAGCTAATCGATTCTACCTATACGGATGTTGAATAATCAATTGCGTCTTAAACTTGCTATTTTACTAAAAATAGAAAACACGATGCAGCAAAACGCAACATGATTTTCCAGTACAGGTAACCCTCCTATAACACGGTAGATAGGTTCCTAGAAAATGCCGTGTTGTGTGAAACCGTGTTATATGAGACCCAGAACCGGTATAAAAAGGGGAGTTACGTTTCGAAAATTTATTAAAAACAAATATTTCTTTTTAATTCTATATAAGCATATTATTTTAATTTAACGCAACCTTAATTTAATAAATTATAATTTGTTTATACAGGGTGTTCGGCCGCTTCTGGGAAAAATTTTAATGGGAGATTCTAGAGGCTAAAGTAAGACAAAAATCAAGAATATCAATTTCTTGACTGAGGCTTCGTTAAAAAATTATTAAAAAGATTCAAATCGTTCTGAAAAAATTATTTTCGGTTGCAGGGGTCAATTATAATCATTTTTGGTGAATCGATATAACCCCGAAATTCTACGCAGTTTCGAGAAAAAAATTCAATAGGTGGACAAATTTTTCGGCAAAATTGAAAAACTTCAAATCATTCTGAAAAAATTATTTTCGGTTGCCGGGGTCAATTGCAATAATTTTCGGTGAATAGACATACCCTCGAAATCCTGCGCATTTTCGAGAAAAAAATTCAGTACGGGCGAAAGTGTTTAATCTATTATCGTGTTAAAGTATCGTTTAAATATATTAAGTTGTACTCTTTACGAAATTAAAAATTTATGAATGAAACAGTATCGAGTAACGAGGAACAGAAGGAAGAAGAGTATGCAACTTGAAAATGTAAGAGCATCCTAGGGAATAATCTATGATAAAAGCTTCCATCTGAACTTCAACTGAAATGCAGGGTAACTCGAGCGTCGATACAAATTCATATACTCTTTCTACATAGAAAGAGAATATGCTTTCATCTCAAATAAGAAAGGAGATACGAGAACGATGAGAATGAAAAGAATGCTCAAAAGGGAACACAACCAAATTCGTGAAGAATGCAGCAAAGTGTATATGTATACGTTTAAAAATATACTTGAATCGGATATAAAAGTGCAATTGAAAAATGAATATAATAACCCATTTTTTTAGAAAATGTTTATCCAAAATTCTATGTTAATAACGCGACCGGTTACTTATGGTTGCAGAAGGAAGACAACAAAGCTCGTAATAAATCAGCCTATGCAAAGTGACTTTGCAGTCGCAATAATAACTTGAAATGGAAATGTGGCCTTCTCGTTATTGCAGAGTAAATTCTCTGAATCATCTACTAAACACAATTACGACTGGACCATCCGGGGATAATTACATACGATTAAAGTATTGTCTGTGGTATGCAAAGCGTCAAGGAATAATTGCTGTTTTATAGTTAATACAGTTACGCTGTAATAACTCCAATTTGAGAATAAAACGTAAACAATCCTTCCAGTCGACGAGTTTGGACGCAGATGTCTTTAATTATACGCGAACAATCTGTCGAATTTATAGAAATTAAATGCATGAATATCGTAGACAGAAAATTGTGGAGTATCTTACCTATTTAGTACTCTCAACAGTCCTGAAAATTCTACTAAAACTTGAGACTTTCGTCTCGTACATCGTTGTTTTAAATTTATTTATGATACAGCTCTATATTAAAATAATTTATACGTTCGCTATAATATATGAAGAGTTGAAAAATAAGAGTGTACAAAGTAAGTACTCCAATGCGTCTCGCCTTGATTCAAATCTGAAAGGTGAACGTACAGACAGTGGCAAGGACACCGAGACGGTGAGCCACGATTCGACTTTCAAGAAACCCAAAGACATCGCATTTCCACCAAATTGAAACGAACAATTTTGATAAACCGTTTATCCCGACAGAACTCGAGATCCATAAGAACGATAAAAAGCCATCGCCGCTGAAAAATTCATACAAGAAAAACCGTGAAAAGAATCGTCTGTACTTACGCTCCTGCTATCAATTACTCTCGCGTTTCTCTGCGGCTGATTTCGTAATCGGCCTTATCGCGTGTTCCCCCCGTTATCAGGAAATCGCGAATTAACACGAGCCATCGCGAAGTCGACAGAAATCGTAAATTTCCGTCGTGTTCCGTGTCGCGCGAGACGTCGGTCGCAGAATCCGCGTAAACGGATCCTCAAACGTACGTCGAAAGTCGCGCGGGCAATGCGGGGGCGTGAGAATCGCGTCGATCGTCGGTCGAACGACTCCGTTTCGCGAATTATTCCAAACGTACCTCATCGAGCGTGGTTTCCTAGCGTTGAATCCGCCTCTCAGTCAGCTCCTCATTCTTCCTCTCTTTCTCTCCTTGGTAGTAGCCAGCATCGTAGCCATGCGTGCGCGAACGTGGCCGTTCCAAGCGACGATCACCGCCATGACACAGGGATCCCCGTTACCGCGGCGATCTGCACCGAAACGATCATTTCACGGACTCCGGCGAAACGCGCGCGACATCCGGCGGGATCTTTTTCGGCGGCCGGCAACAGGTCGCGGCAGTCGTGTCGCGGACACGCGACGTCTTGTTATTGTTTATTGTTCGGCCACGGCTGCACACACGTTCCACGGCGTCGCGACGCGTCGATATCGCCGCTTCTCCCGCGTTCTATTTCGGTCCCCTCAGGTAGGAGAGAAGGGACAGCACAGTCTGGCTCGGACGAACGCTTGGCGACACTATTAACGAATCTTCAGAACGACCACTCTGCGGACCGAAACAGAGACGGACGATCAGAAACGGAGTAAGAGTGAACGCGAAAGAGAGAAGAAATACGAGACTGAAGCCAGCGGCTACCCATTATAAATAGTTACGACCGACAGCGATGGGAGTGACACCCTCGCGTCTTCCGGGTAGCAGGTATCGATAGTTCGATTGCTTTCGATAGAGTGTCGATTTTAATTTTAAGGTTGAATCAATACGAGCGGTACGCACGATCGATTGCGTTTGAAAATAGATTTGAAAGATCGGTACCGAGACGTATACGCGAATTGTTTAGGAGCACGACGCGCGTAGTCGACGCTGTCACTAGCGGCTGTCAGTTAGAGAGAGACGAGTTGGAAAGAAGGAGACAGAGAACGTCGGCGGAAGTATGCACGCGAGAAGGAGAAAGACAGTAATGGAAAACCGACTCGCGTTCGCTCTAACTTTATGCTCGCGTCATTGTTCCGTCACTGAAGCCTGCCTTGAATTTTAACGGACAGCGGTCCTACGCGTAAATTTGCATGATTCCCTTTCGACGGACGGCAGTCGCCAATTTTACAGTTTCGTTGCACCTGACGAGTCGAAATAATGGAAATGTTCATCGATAAAATGGAATCGTGTGATACGATTAAAAACCATAGTGACAATCGATGCGCACGGAGAGCAAACCCGTCGACGGATGTTTATTTATAAACCTCAGTCCGTAGATCGTACAACGAATTTAACGATAGATCTCGCAGCGTGAATATTTGTTATCGAGAAACGTAAGAGAAGATAATTTACCTTAGAATAAATATCCACGACGGTCCATTCTCGGGATATTCGTGCGCCTAATCGTTTCAATCGATATAGAAAACAGTCTACGTAAACTGACACAAACACGATAAAAGTTATATAATTTTCGAGCGTTATTTCTTCGACGAGAGCGACTAGTTGCTCGTTCCCTTATTTAAATTTTCCAGCGGCGGAATATTTCTGTCGTGTACGAAATCTCCTAAGGTACTGAAATTCACGCGACAGCTATCATTAACCACGAAAATCCGATGCCGTGTTGCTTGTTTTAAAGAGGAACGTTCTTTGGCAACACTCGGACGTCTTGTACCTGTTTATAAATTTTGGCGCGAATCCGAGGCGTCGTAGAAGGATCATAAATCGATCGATATATCGCGGGTTTCGCGGTCAGTCAATTCGTGCACCGATGTTTCTTTACTTAGTAAAACGAAACGTTCGGGGAATCGTTTACAAAACTGACGTGATTCATCGGCAATGTACGTGCAACATAAATCATTTTCGTGCAGCACGTTGCACTCGTAACCGAAGAACGCCGAAAGGTTAAACAAGCGCGCTAAAAATAGACCGAGAGGAATAAAAAGTGCTACCAGAGTGTTTTTCACATATACGTGTCACGTTTCGTGGACATTCTTCTAACGTAACCAAGGTCAAGATCGCCTTCGAAAGTTATTTGACCCCCGACAAAGCGGTAAATCGAAAAAGGAACTTTCTTTCGCTCTATAAAACTGAACTATTTCTTGTAATTTTGCACGTCTCTCTGATCGATTGCCAATAAAATTGAAACAAACAAATAAAAACACGATTGAAATCTAATTCCATGATAGAACGTTCTTACGAGGACGTTCCCCCCCCCGCGGCGAGAAAAGTACTTCGAGGAATTTTTTATACGATAAACCGTTTTATTTTAATAATGTGTGTGCGTGTATTTTGTACAATATAATAATAATAATTATAGTAGCAATAGAAGTAGTAGAATAATAGTAGTAGAAGTAGTAGTAGTAGTAGTAGAACAGCTGAGAAGTAGTAACAGCCTGTTTTATCTCGCCGGAATCCTCGTCGTTATAGGCTAGGCTCTGTGGCGAAGCGACAGAGCGTCGTCCTCTCGGAACCATTCCGATGTCGCATAAGACTCGAAACGAAAAGCCACCTATAACGACGAGATTCTGGGACAATGGCGCGCCATTGTTGTCTCTACTGCCGCCACGACTATATTCGATGGTTCGAAGGATGTTTCGAGATTGTTTGATGATCGATCGATTGAATTTGCAATTTTCTGGAAGAGGCTTCTATTCCTCCTCTTCCTCCTCCTCCTCTTCCTCCTCTTCCTCCTCCTCTTCCTCCTCCTCTTCCTCCTCCTCCTCTTCTTCACCCTCACCCTCGCCCTCCTTTCCTTCGCCACCTTCTTCCTCCTCCTCCTCCTCCTCCTCCTCTTCTTCCTCTTCTTCCTCGAACTGTGGTTCCTCTAATTCCTCGTCCTCAGCCGCAGCCTTCACGTCTTCTTCGCCCTCTGGAGATTCGGGGTCTCCTGGTTTCTTGCCCGGCCTCTCGCCGAACCACTTCGGCAACTTCGCTGTTATATCGCAAAAAAAGATATCGCGTCATCGATGGTACTCTACTCTTAGCAACGATCGTTTTCTTCGTAGGGCCAGCGAAACGACGACAGCGAGAATTTCTACGTAATTTTTGTTCAAGACCGTTAAGGAAACCGGAATCAATTTATCTTCTACAGATGAAAACGAAGCGTGAAAGCGAGACTCCGTAACGTTGGTCTCTCGATAGAAAAACAGAACCAAGGATTAAAGGTATCGACAGACGCCTTCGATTTGCGCGGAATGGTTTTCTATCCCCTCGCTTTTCATCGAACGGGCCCCTTGAACGCTGACGAAATATACTTCTCTGCGGTCGTTGTAGTTTGACCCAGTTACCAGAAAATACTCTGACCGGTCAGACTTCAAGACTCGCGACTCGAGCAAACGCACACGCTGATACGCGAAATAATAAACGCGCGGGATAAAGCGCGACGCTTTTTACAAATTATCCCGCGATATCAAACCGTCGAGGAATCACGATGTCGCGAATACCAAACGCTCGCGCTTATGCGTTTGCTCGAGAATGATTCAAGCATACATACTCTTCTGGCGACCGAGGAATTGTTCCTTCTGTTGAGTCCATTGCTTCTCCATGGTTTCCTTGAGCTGTTCGGTTAGACCCTGAAACACCAATGGACAAAATGGCATGCTAGGATACATCGTCACACGGGGCGCACTCATCTGGACCCATTCCACGGTTAACGAGATATCGCCGTGTCGACGTCTAACGGAACATTAATGGATCCTATTACACGTATTCCGTTGACGCCCGCCTCGTGACTCGGCCTTTTCAGTTAACAAACCACTTTGGACGACGAGGGGACAACGTAGTCAAACACCCGTTGGCTTATCTTACGATTGTTAATGACCAACTCTTGGGGCACAAATCATTTTACTCTTTCCTTGCATAGACTTAACGTTAGTCACGTGACGAAAGTGTCGGGAGTGTGACAAGTCTGAAACGAAACTAAGTATCTTATCATGGTTTGAGAGTGTGTCGTGGTTCCTTTTGAGACGTAATTGAAATGTAGCCGGTGCGTACGATTCCTTAATAAAACTTTACGAATGAGTGTTCGTCGGGTCTAAGAACTTCCTCGTAGAGTATCTTGCACCTGCTAGTGGAGTTGCATGTGTTCAAGGGTTTGCAGTAAATTTTGTGTGGGTAATCGTGAGCGCTTGTATCATGGAGTGATTTAGATTTGGGCTTTTAAAGAATTGGTAGTATATACACATACTCGGGATCGTAAATGTTCATCGGTTTCGGTGTCTTCGTGGATGTTTGTATCTGTTGTACAGAGGCTTGCAATAAATTTTGGTGATACTATCCATGAGCACTGTATTCGCGTTCGTGTCGGTAATAAATTACGATAAATATCAGAGCAAGCGCGAGTGCTATACTGTGCGAACGAAATAACACGAGCATAGCAACATCTCCGACGGTCTTTGTGCTCCAGATCAACTACTTGCTAAATGGATATCCAACATGAATTAGAAACACGATCGTCGGGACGATCTAGTGGGGCATAAAGGGGGACAAGGGGTTTTCAACGAGCAATGCAAGCAAAAAGGTGATACATTAACAGAGAGCTCGATAGGACTCACTTTTGTTGCGCTTCATGAACTGTTCTGTTTTCTGTTTCCACAGTTTCTCGTTGTACTCCGCTAAAAGCGTGTCATAGCCCTGCGATTCAATTGACATTGTTCACTAATCACTCTTTTTTCTACAAGTACTACTTCCTAACGAGCTATGTCGCTTATTCTTTGTGTTCTATGATCGTCTCTCTTTCTATTATACATCCAATTATTTTTTTTCTTTACTTTAGTCTTGGAATTGTCTACCATTCTAACACGTTTCGTTTGAAAAATTGCAACAAATCGTTGCTAGGACGATACCGTGCCGCGACGTTTCGTTACCAGACCGGAACAAACGTATGAATTTTGAATCCATCTTTGGACATTATTTTTAGTCGTTCGGGTCAGATTCAGGGGCGTCGAATTGGCCAAATTGCTTCCGAGACGGATACATCCGAGTCAGCTGAATATTCGAAGAATCAGCGACTGATTTAATTGGTACAAAAGTATACTTACACCCTCGAACAGTTTCTTTTTATCGTCATAGGACCTGGTATCCACGCGACGTTCGTATTTGGAGGCGACTTGGATCTTGGGCTACGGAAAGAGAAACAGAACTTAATTGTACTGAAAGCGCCCGTTTCATTTCGATTGATTTTCTCGTTTGCTTACAGGGTACTTGCCGGTAAGGGCTTCGGGATCAAGACCTTTCTTCAAGGCTTTGTGCCTCAACTGCTGCTTCTGACGTTCCTTTAATTCTTTAAGCTGGAAAGCAACACAAACGTTCCTTAAAATATTACAAATACTATACATATAAATGTTACTGATTGAGATTGCAAGCCGATCGTGGTACTCACGTCATAGTCCTGGCGTTTCTGTCGTTCTTCAAGATCGTATTTCTCGGTTTCGAGCTTAACTATGGTATCCCAGAGTTCGTTGGCCTTAGACCGGAGCTTCTCAATGGACAAACCATCCATTTCCAAAGGTTTGATACGGATGCTCAGCGAGATTTTCTTCTCCTCTTCGAGCTGTTCTTTCGTTTTGTTGCGCTCCAGTTGCGCCGACGTAAGGTTACCCTATATCGAACGGAACAACACATCGGTAACTGCATAGAACGGATCCGTTACGCGGCGTAACACGGTGAATCTATTTTGCGTATCGATACGAACTGCCAGATCTTTCCTGGTGATGGTGAAGTTGGGTCCCTTCTTGCTCTGATCCTTCATCGCTTGCATCATGGCTTGGCGTTTCTTTTCTGATTCCTCGAGACGCCTGGATAAATGATATTTAAAATTAATGCACGGTCTTTACGCGTCAATCGGAAATAGTCGGGGTAAACAGAAGGGAGCGTACTTTCTCTTTTCCTCGATATCACGTTGTTTCTTCTCCTCTGGAAATTTGAATAAGCGTCAAGAAATCTCCGGATAAAGGAACAAAATCGAATACACTTTGTGCAGAGCATCGAAATGAAAAGGAAATAAAATAAACGTACCAATTTCACGTTGGCGACGTTCTTCCTCCTCCTTCTTTTTCTGAGCCAATCTCTTCTCCTCGTCCGCGCGAGTGATCTTGCGCTTGGCTTGTTTCTCCTGCGTTCGACAAACAAAACGACGATGAAAAATACATGGGGAACACAGCGGGGACGCGGAATCTATGCATAAGAAGCATAACAGAGGTACGCGGAACGGACGTAAGCCGAGCTCGCTGATACGTACCTTCAATCTCTTCAGTTCCTCCTCCTCCTTGGCCCTTTGCTTTCGCCATTCTGCAATGTATTCCTTGAGTTGTTCGTCTAGGTCGCTTCTCTTCTGTTCCTGCCTCTGTGTGTTCCCGGAAACGACATGAATGTAAATACGTGTTGAGGCTAAATCTCTCCGATATCGCGTCTACGAGATCACGGGGATCTCTCCTCACCTTCATAAACTCGGGATTCTCCCCAGAGTCCCTGATGTAGGCCGGAGCGAAAACAAAAGTAACTCTCTTTAGTTCCTGCCGCTCGTCCTCTGAGAGATCTCGCAAGATCTTCCAGAACTCCGTACGCCACTCTCACGTTCCACTTTTTCCATTATTTATTACACTTCATCCATTCTCTCTCGTGGCGAACAATTCTTTCTGTATTCTGTTACGTTCTTCTTTTGCTTTTAATATGTGTATATTCTTGTTTTTTTCTTTTACTTTTCGCCGCAGCCGCGCGTAACAACACGCGTACAGCCACAGACAAACAGACAGACGGCCACACAAACGGACGGACGCACGGACAGACAGAAAGTGTGTAAAGCGCTCGGAGAGAAGAAAATTAGGTGCGCAGTGTAACAAAGAAAAAAAAAATATATATACTTCGGAAAATGAAGGTAGAGCAGAAGGAGACATTAATGAGTTTACAGGAGCTTGGGAAACCGATGAGTTTGCGACGGGGAGGAATCTATTAGGCTCTCGTGGACGGGATATTGGAAAATTGATGGAGGGTTTTACCGAGAATTACGCGGTCACTTGAATTTAAATTTTGTTTCGACTTTAGAGGTCTGCAGCACTGAAATATTAAAGTTCCTCGACGTTCTTTGCTGATGCATTTCTGAGATTCTTGAATTTATCGAAACTGAATATCGCGAACGATGCAATTCAATTATAAAGGACCGTTGTTCGAGGAAATATCGTAATATTTAATGTACAAAAACATTGAATTGACACGATTAATTGCGAATGATAGTATTAATTTGAAGCGATCGTCGAAAAGACAAAAAAACGGTATTTTGTCAGAAATTTGGAAACGCTTCAAAAGTGCAGAGACTCTCGAACACGTGGGCGCGGTACCACAGATCAAATTACGTTACGTGGATCGAATCCAGAATGGCTTAAAAATAAGGGAAGGATCTCTAATTTTAAAGATGATTTCGTGGCGACAAGAAATAGATTAAACGCTCGATATTCTGGATCTCAGGGATTAGAGATACGGGACGTCGGACGTTCGTTTAGTGTTTAGCTGAGAAAAATAAAAAAAAAAGTAATACGAAGCCGCTCGAGAACAAGCGATTAAGCATTTTTTACAGAAGCAATTCAGCAGGTTCGAAGAGAAAACTTGAGAAATCTAAACAGCGCAGAACGAGAACAAGAATAATCGTGTCTGAAACGGTATATGGGCAACGCTCGTCTAAAAACATAACAGCGTATCGATAAAGTTCGTATAGAAACGATAAGAGACAAACGAAACAATAATACTCGATTTATTCGAGTAAAACGTACTTTCACGTAACAACATAGACGATGATAAAGGATAAACGGGATAGAAATGGAGCACAGAGATCTCTAGCACTCACTCTTCTTCTCGTCAGACATTTTCTGCTTCTTTTCCAACTCAAATGCAAGCAACACACAGTCGCCGCCGTTATCAGCGTCGTCGCTGTCGTCGTTCTTATTGTCAATTATTATCCACAACGTAAAAATCCGTAAAAAGCCACAGTCGAAAGCCAAGGAGGCTGGCCAGTTTACATAAAAAATGAGGTATCGACAATCGTGTCATCGCGGAGGGTCACAGAATTCTCGTGCGATTGTCAGCGATTCTGCTTCGACGCCTACGATGATCGTAGACCCCGAGGAAAAATCAGAATTGTTTCATCCGCGGTCGCTTAAATTATCGAACGAAATTCGAAATCGCGAGACTGGACCAAATGGGACCGTCTCCAAATTCTTGTCTCGGTCGATTTAATCCGCGACACGCCGATGAAATCATAAACAGCGTTCAACACCGTTGGCAACGCGACGCGTCATTATGTAACCGCATTATGAAACAATCCGTCGAAATACGCGTTAAAGGAGAGCCCGAAAAACTGACCTCACGATTCCACGAAACATTCAGTGACCCTCCCTAAACGCTTTTAGCCGATCTTTCTGCGACAAAGATACCGAGAACGAGAGGAGGTTTGGCGTGGTAATTATTGGCTGCGGATCGATTGATTATGGCGCAAGATCAACATAATAATTAACAAACGGAGACAAAGGGGGGCGAGGGTACGAAGTCGGCGGTGACAAAAAAAAAAGGAAAAACAACTCCTCGAAACGTAGAGTACAAAAGAAAATGGAAAAAAAATAAAAAACGAAACACGACATCAAATCGTTGGCTTGAACGAGATCAACGAAAAACTGGTGGACTCGTCGATACGTGTGTGTACGCAACGTGTACGCGTACAGGGACACGAAGGATCTATGTACAAGAGCCTTTAGTTAATTCGTGATTAATCGGATGTAGAGAGACAAAAAGAAAAATAACACGAGACGGGGTGAGAAGAGACAGAGAGAAACATGAGCTTGGGGGGCGTGGGGAGGGGAGTGTTGCTTCGAGCACTGATCACGAATTATTAGATTTCGCATTTTGGCAGGATCGAGACTTTGATTGTACGTTCTGTACGGGTAACGGTATTTACGGAACGTCGGACAAACGTAACACGAAAACCAATTTACGCACAACACGGGGAAATGTTTAGTATACACGGTTACGGTATTTACGGAACGTCGGACAAATGGTCGTGACTCAAACTGATTTACACGTAACGGGAGGGTATGTTTAGAATCCACGAACACCGTGAAAGAAACGGGAATTTCGAGGTTCGAGATTTACAAAAAGAAGGTGGCGAACTATTCGGGTGGCGGTGGAAGCAAAGAATTTTTACTGGTCTGCCTAAGTTCGTCTCGCGTCTTGGCATCGAGACTTGGCATTAACTAAACAATGCGCCCGACAATGGTTGCGTTTTTCCACCGAACGGTTTATTCGCTAATTATATTGCACGCGGCGCGCTTCAAACGGACACCGCAGCTTCAGTATAAGAATAAACCGCATTACGTTATCGTACACATATTTATGAAACGTTTGGCAATCGTCCAGCCGACGCAAGTTATATTAGTTGCGTACACCCCTTATGCAACTGCCGCCGTATAATACGGTCAAAAGCCTGAAAACTTTTCGACTAAACAGCCTTGTTGTTTCGCAGAGCATCGAATCGTCTGTAACGTTACACGGTCAAGAACCTCGAGTAAAAAGTGCAGTCGAATGGAATCAGAGTTTAAGAGAAGACGTTCCCACTTATCCATACGTTTATTTCGAACGAGTTTGACACTACGATGCTCAAACTGCTCGTAAATGCGAACCTGTTTTCGAACCGTGAACGCAGAGAAACGAGAAAAATGCTATCGATGAATAGATTATCGTTTCAACGCTAGACAAATCGGAAATGCTATCCTCGATCACCGGGAGAGTCTCGTTCCCGCCAAAAATTCGAACAAAAGCGCGGACTTGTGGGGAGGGTTGTGAGAGCGGCCGAAGAACAAAGAAAATATTATTGACGTGTAAACACCTCGATATTCAACTTACTTTTGGGACGCCCTACCCCTACAAAAAAAGAAAGGAAAGGTACATTAATAACAATGACAATTGTTTCGTCTTTTACGTGAGGACTGCACAAAGCCGCGAAAAAGTGCGTTTCGCTCGCCTTTTCGCTTTTATTCGTTCCGGTTCGAATTAAAATCCTGCCACGATCGGACAAAGAAAGCATCGTTAGAATCGACGACAGCCTGCCGCGTTTCATCCTGCTTTTATCCACTTCCGTTCCCCACCGTTTCTTTACTGCACAGTCGTAGAAAAGTTTCGCGTTCGACGAAACGGGAACGGGTGCACTCGTACGCGCTCACGTTTTACGAGATTTTGATTGGCTTTTTATAGACGACGTAAAAGAGGAGAACAGGCAGCCTACCGTCTCTTTCATTTCGAGGACCTTGTCACACCTACACGTTATACACAAGGTGTATCCTAACACGTGGTACCCACTTCATTGGTGAATTTGGGACGCAAAAATGATGAAAAAAGTTCAAACGTATACTCCTACGATTTCCATAGTAAACAGTACAATTAACTTTACCAAACTATGAGCAAACAATGTTTTCCTTAATGGAAGATTAACAAGCCAATATTACGTCAATTTCTCGGCTAATTGATTGCATGAATTATTGGCAGAAATTCCATTGCGTGTACGTTGCGTATGATTTATGCATGACGGTCCTATTTCAGCCAAACCGCCAGACAATTCTTCAAGGAACGATTTTGCGACCCATTTTCTAACCTGATTTATAAAACGAAATGTAAAACTCTGTGACATCTGTGGACTTTCAAAAATGAAAATAACTCGAGAAGATCGAATGATACGTGTTCGCGCGAATTTTCTTCGCTGTTTTTGTGCCTCGATCCAGCATTGAAGTGGGTCCCATATATTAGCATGCACCCTGCATATAGCTTTTCACAAAAACCTTTCCAATTGGACAGCTCAAAATGCGAGAACAGAACGATCATTATGCGACAGAAATAATGCGCAAAGAGACAAAGAAAGTTAGGTGTGGTGGGGTGTATTCGGTGGCTTTGCCTCGGGTCGATTGAAAAGTGAAACTGATTCGACAACGATCAAAAAGCAGAACCAAAAAAGAAAAGAATTTCCTAAAAACTTTATCGATGCACTCTCCAATAAACATACTCGTGGATGGGAAAAAAAATATATTTTCGTTACTATGCAGGCTGTTTCGTAACTTCGACAACTTTGTTGGAGAGGTCAGGTTGAGGAAAAAATATCATACGAACGGAAGCCCTATTTTAAGTACTCGCGTGACTATAATAGATTACTATCACAATAGAACTGCAAGCTCGTAATCGATTTTTGCTACAATTATTTGTTACTTCTTACATTTTACAAGCTAGAAGCTATTTATGATTCTTTATCACAAGCTTGAGCTCGAATGCACGCGAAACATTAAATTGCTATTGCAATGTTCAGTACAACGTTACTCCAACATTGGATAATCAATAATAAAATGGCCACTTCGCATTAATCTTGTGATTTTATTATAACAGTAATCGAACTATGGTCAGTTATCGAGTACTTAGAATCAGATCTATGTTCCTACAATATATTATTTCCCCAAAGTTATCCAAGTCTCTTATACTCGCGATGAAACGTCCTGTGCGTCGACATTACTTAATCGAGTGGGATTTGAGAAGTCTATTACCAAGAAAAAGAAACAGAGTACTCTGTTTAAAAAATTAATTGCAACATTTAGAATTCCCTGTCACTTTTCAATCGCGTGTATCTTGTTCAGAAACGTGTGAGTGCGTGTAGATGGGTGTCTGTTCCATTCGTAACGACCAATGATGTGTACGTGGACGTGTGTCAGACGGGACAAGGTGGCAGCGATAGACATATTTGTTTAACCATCGACACAACAACAGCGACACAGCACCAAAAACAGAACGATGAAGACAGCGGACGGACCAAACAGAAAAAGTGACGGTCAAAGATGCAAAGAAACGCGTTGTACGAAATCAGCCATCGTTGCTTTCCCTGGTCTTTCGGCTAAGTAAACCTCACCGCGATTCGGTACAAAAAAAAAAACCATAATGACGACAGTACCAATAGCAGTAAACAAAAAAGAAAACTGAAGGGCGAAAACGACTCTTAAATGGGGAAAAAATATTTTGTGGAGCGAGAGGCCCTCACGGAAGTCTAAAAAATACAGCTCGCGATTCGCGTACTCGGTGCTACGATTTACGAATGATTTTAAGTGCAACGATAAAAAAAGGATGGGCGACGCCAACGCGTCTCGTTTCTCTTCCAACGTCGAAACGGAAGAAGTGATTTTTCATCGTCACGGTGGACAAGATCGTTCGAACGCTTGGTTAAAAAATTCCGTTTGCTCGCGCATGGAAACGTCGCGCATACGAATCTTTCGCGAAATTAAAAAAGCTCAGGGAGACAACGCGACGAAAAACAGTGACTGGTCGAACGATGAAACGAGCTTTGAAACGACTCGTCGACGTAACCCAGGGGTGGAGAACTATTTGACATTTTACTTCGCGTTCTGTTCGCGAGGCAAGCAAAAAATAACTAATAACGTAATGGATACAACGTCGTAACAAAGGATTAAAATTATTGCTTTAATGTTTCGCGTATTCCCTTTAGAACTTTAGAAGGAATTGAAATAATCGTTGTCGGAGCATGTGTGACGCATAAACAAAGAAAATATGCAAAAGAGCCGCAGTTTCCCTGTACCTGAGAGAGCCTCTCACGCTCGCGACGAAAAACCAGCGTTATCGTGTTAATAAACGGTCTTACTGCGCGTTAAACGCGACACGGCAATGGAAATTGCCATTTTCTCGCGAATTACCAGAAATTAACGTTGCGAAAAAGAAAAAACGGACACGTTGCTTCCAAAGAATAACCGTGGTACGTAAAGGTTCGCCGGTAATGGTGTCGGCAAGGCGGAGAGACTCGACCGACTGCGCGATTTACGAGAAAAGAAGTCTCGTTAGAGAAGAGAACGTGTATCGATAAGGCGAAAAGAGACGTGAATAGTAAAGGTGAGCAGAGAGAAAGAGAGAAACAGAACGAACGTCTCGCAATAAAAAGAGTCTCATACAAGAAAAACGAAAAAACGAAAAAACGAAAAAAAGAAGAAAGAGAAAGAGAGAAAAAAAAAAAGGAAAAACAAAATACAACATTGCGCGTACAGCGACCAAATGAGAGACAGAAACAGAAACGTAAGAGCCAAATAGCAAACGAACAGATACTGTACCGGATACAAGACAATACAACGGTTAGACGATTAATAAAGAGAAAGTGATAGAGAAAGAAATAGAGAAACAAAGAAATGAACATAGCTGCCCGAACAAGATGGGCGATTTTTACAGCTTACGACGGGAAAAAAAACTTACTCGATCTTCCTCTCCGGGTGCCTTTGATTTTTCGATTTTTTCGATTCGCGCCGCGCGTTGGTCGTTTGGTCGATGGTGATTTTGATTGATTGGTTGGTTTTTTTTTTTTTTGTGTATTGTATGTGGAGATTCGGGCGAGGGGAGAGATGGAGAGATAGATAGAAAAAAAAAAACAGAGAAACGAAGATCATAAACCAAAGTCAAAGATAATGGCTAACGGATCGTCGACGGAATCGATCGCGGTAATTATTATTTTTCGACCCACGATCGTGCTCTCTTTTCGTCGCGTGGAATCGCCGTGAAATATCGCGCGTACGAACGAGATTCCAAAGATCATCGTCGTGCAGCGGAAATATCTCTCCGGAGGTTCGATATCTTCCTTCGACGTTCCCTAAATTGTTTCGCGGAACAATGTCTCAGAAAACTGACTGCGGAGGGAGAAATCGTGTTGAATCGTGGCCTGTGTTCGTGCAAACGAATGACGGAGCTTGGACAAAATTTTACTCCAGCCGAACGGCTGCGCGACGTCGTTTAATTAATATGTAACCAGACGTTCCGAGACACAGACGCCGTTCGTTTGCTCTATTTTCGCGAGAGAAGCACGACTGTTCTAACTTTAACGACCGTTCGAGAGAGATCGCTCTGGACCACCAATCTAATATTTCGGAACTGCTCGCGTTTAAAATGATTCCACAATGTCGCGAAGTTAAATTCCGTATGTATTAATAGCACTGTATCTCTTTTAATGTAATTCAACGATTCGCTAATCACGTAATCCAATATGTCTGTCTGGTATTCGGACGCATTGATTTGTATCGCGACCAAATGTGTGTGTCAACAGCTGCCCGAACGATCAGAAATATTGTTTTTCCACTTTTAAAGCCGCGTAAGCCGGGTGTCCAAGGCGACGCGAAGACAGCGCCAAGAGCACGTCCTATTTCTGTAAAAACGAGCATGTCCGTTCTAATTCTAACCGGGCTCGTACTTGCTGAGCGAGTGCAGTGTTTGATGTCTCGGTGGCTGTGTGCCTATGATCACAAAGTTGCACAAGTTTGTAACACGACAGACAATTATTCGAGTCAATGACGCCGAGCGTATATCGATTAACGAATGTTGGACAAGAACGAATTGCTGTAATAGACGCAGTGTACCATTAGCCCCTGCGATTATATTATATTAATAACGAACGATGAATTCTTTGATCTTTGGAAACGTCTACGTTCTAAATACTTCCCAAGACCGAAACGTTGGAAAACTGCTAGTTGAGACTGGTTTATGTTTCGCTCGTAATAGTTAGAATTAATGGTACGCCGAATTTGTTAGCCCAATTTAATTTTACGCGTGTGTATTATTGTATGAATATGCAAATTGTCTGGCGTAACTGTGCCAGGTTGTATCTTTGAAACAGCTAGAGGCAGAGAAAACGGTGATGAAGTTGAATCAAGTGGGTTTAAATGCTCCATGTACTCGACAAGAAAGTATCAGAAAATTTTACTGAAAACAACTATTAGTTTGAAAGATATTTTGTGCTTCAATATTTACTCCTATCGGCGCCATTATGGGTAGACTTTATACCTTTTAAAATACTACTAAACACTCTCTTGCGAAATATGAAACGTCGTATCGATTGGCATAATGAAAGGAATAAGCCTCCATTACACAAAAAGTGGACAGCAGTTTGCGACTGCACGCGTGCACATAAATGCATAACAGTAATACAGAAATATGGAACATCTAAAACGATTTAATTCAACCTTGTAGTTTTTTTCTGTATCTTCGACTGCTTCAAACGCTCGGTTTGGCCTAGTTTCGCGGAACGTGTATACTTATTAGGGTGAAAACGTTTGAAAATTATTTAGAATCGCTTCTATTATTATCCTCGTTCGGTGGCAAATTATCCAATACACAGGAATCTCCTAAACCAAGATGCAGATTCATCCAGGAGAAAGAGCGATCTCTCTGGAAGTTCGGGAAAATACAGTCGAGACACTGATTCGTAGAAGGGGTGCACCGATCGTCAAAGAGAGATCGAGCGATCGTTGCAATAAACGACACGATGAACGCTAACTTCGATCGCTAAACAAACTTTCACGCTGCTCGTAAGGAGCCTAAACGTCTAAGAGATCAGAACACGAGATCTGGATTCCGCGGTGACTCTGCGCAGTAGTAGCAGACATCTAAACGCAGACAAGCCTCTGGAACTTACTTCCTGGAATAAGAAAACGAGAGAACGTGGACGTTAGATATAATTTCGGGAAATGTTCAACGAAGGATTCGGGAATTACAAGACACTTACGTTTCCTCGACCACCTCCTCCTCGCTGCTGCAAAAGAGAAAACGGGAAACGAAATTTGTTAGTGAACGGTTACAGGCAAACGTACGGGGCTATCAATAAAAAAAAGAAAAGAATCGAAAACAAGAATCAAGGGGTGGTTTTCGGGCAGCGGTGGGGGGGGGGGGCAAAAGGGCTCTTCTACTTGGTTGCACGTTAAAAACGTCTGTCTTGCAACAGTTTCTGTAAAATTCATATCTTATCGCGACTAAGGAACGTTTCATTTGTCACGACATTTTTGGACCCGTCTGTTCACACCACTGAATATAGATCCAAGCCGATTCGACCGAATGATTCATCGTCTGATACATACAGTGTTCGCGTCCATCTGTTTGAATTCTCTGGTTACCAAAATAGACAGACGTTTTGCCTGTACCTGTCAGAATTCATTTCACTGAAACGTACCGATTTTACAGAACGTTCCACTTCTCTTGTACATCGTGAGAACGCAAAACGACGTTTTTAGCGAGCAATTCAATCGGAGTATCGTGCATTAACAACAATTCTTTCAAGACAAAAACACGTGGTCACGACAGGGTTGGGGGGGGGGGGGCGGGGTAGTATACTTTTACAGCAAAATTAAACGGGGTAAGGGTGTTTGAACGTTTCACCGATAACGACGTATCGAACAACGGGAGGTAATTTGTGGGGGGAGAAATATAGTATACGATCGGCACCCAAAATACGGAGATATGTTTCATCTTACGTGAACGCAATCGATTATGTCGGATATTGTTCATAGTGTGAGAACGATCGACACAGGGATCTTGGTTATCCTCGACTTATGTAGCAATCTGATAGTGTCGCATCAAGAATGTAACTAGAAATCTGTGATTCTCGATCCCTGCAAATCACCGCTAACAATAAGAAAGACTGAACGTGATCTATCGACGACATATTGTTTTTACGACGCTTCGTTGGGCTACCGTACTATCTTTTGCTTAAAATTACGCTTCTGCTGAAATGCCCCCGACATTCTCTGGCGCTCGAACGCTTTGTGAAACTCGATTTCATGGATATTTCAAACGACGGGTCTGATCATTTTTCAGGTACCGTCCGATGCACGTGCGCCCGTGTTACGTAACGGCTTGCATTCGCTTCACCGGATCGTTCTTTTTACCAAAATCGTCTTTGAATCGTCTGGTTTTAAACGAAACACGTACGACGCAAAAACCAAAAAGGCAATCTATCGTTAGAATAGAATAAACGATAATCTAAGCGTCGGAGAATGTCGAGAATCACGTCGATTACGTTTCGTAACGTCTCGTGGCGCCGGTTTCGATACTTACGAGTATTGGTCCTCGTCGTCAGACATGTTTGCGGGTGGTTAAGGTGCTGCAACACATAAACAGACCACTGATTAACACAACCTGTCCACGATCGAATATCTTCTAAATCGTTTCACACCGCATTGGATTTTTTTTACTTCTCGATTCACGGTATCGCATCAACGGAATGGACGACCGGAATCATCCGCTCTCGAGCCGGCTCTAACTCGTTCCTTTTCTTATACGAAACGGAAAATCGCCCTGTTGGCGAGCTCTCGATTCGTCGTCGTGCCGCCGTGACGACAAAATACGCGTCGCGTCCCCGCGAGAGAAAAATGTCGGCGCACTCGCGGCGATGAAATTTCGAAAAACCGATAAATCCGATCGTCCCCGTTCGCTCGTACGCGCAGGCGCCCGGGACGCGGTGGTGTACTTCTCGCGAAAAATGTTAAATAAACAAGTGGCCAAGAGAGTAGGTGGGAGAGAGAGAAAAAGAGATAGTGACAGAGTGTGTGTGTGTGTGTGTGAGAGAGAGAAAGAGAAATCGTGCGTGTATGCACGCGATTACGGAGTCATAAATCGAACCTGGCGGGCGCGAGAAAGAAGAAGCTAGAAAAGAAAGGAAGTCGAAGGGGACGAGACGATGCACTGGTGCAAAGGTAATCCGATATTCTGAGGCGAGAAAGAGAGTGCCAGTTTGCTAACCCTGGCCGCAAGCTCGACGTCGCAAGCTCTATAAGGAGCCATCCCCCTTCTCTTCCTCGTCGCTCTAATTTTAGAAAACCGACTCTCTACTCTTCTCTCTCTCCCTTTTTTCCTTTCGCCTCCCTCGCTCTCTATGGCAGTTCCTCCACCTCTTCGTTGATCTCGTCTTCGTTGCCGTTGTCGTCATCGAGCTTTCCGAGCATTTCCTGCCCTCAGCCGGCGAAATCAAACTTCGACTTCGGCATTTTCCTTCGCCCAATACGATAATTTCCTTTGGAAACATACTATCGTTTGTTTCCAACGTACCGGAACGGCTGTACAACTTGTCCACGGATCCTAGACCCGACTGTCTCTAACGTCAATTTATGGGAAATCCAAAATTTCTTTTGGAGGCATCGTTGTCCTTTAAACGCTATTTATACGAATCACTTCGCACATACGCTTACATGCAATTGTGTGCCAAAGGGTGATCACCCTTTAAATAAATAAGATCACGAAATCGTTGACGCAGATCGATAGCACCACGTTCGTTTAAAGTTATGGAATATAAGTATAACCATGTTTTGTTGCACTACTGAATACCATTGATAGAGTGTCGAAAACTCGTGGAATTTATTGGTGTGTCTAGAACATAATCTTTATTCCAACTTGAATGTTATTTTTCTATGTTCATATAATGTCTAGGTACCACGATTGATAAAATAAAAAATGATGTCTGGTTTTATAAATTCGAGATTATTACTGGTTTATCGTAATAAATATGATTATCACTGGACCAATGCTGTACCAAGACTTAAGAACCACCTTCGTCTAACCTGTAACATTAAAATGTCCTGAAGAGGTTCCTAAATCGTAATGTCGAAAATAACGTTCAAGGTATAAAGATTACGTTCTGAATACTTCGATAGATTCCACTCGTTTAAAATTACTCTGTAGCGGGGAGAAAGGCTGTCGTAGATCGGGTTCATCGAGGCACGAAAACGAAAGGAATTTCAGACATTCCGGGCGCTAATTTTACGACTCGCGTCTTATTATGCCGTACAATATGACACGCGTTATGGAAGTAAGGAACAATATTACATAATTACGTACGTCGGACTCGAATGTCTTGAAACGGGATATCCGACGTGCGTTTATAGTTCTCACGGCGCCAACGCGATTCGTTTCTATATCGGTACCGCGAGACCCGCCATATTTAGAAAATGGAAGCAATTTCGTTCTGTGTAGCTCGACCGTCCAGCTCCGAGCGAATATCTCCACGCGAAAGGCAATATTTGAGCACGAAATTCGCGCTGCTATGTAAAAAAACTCGATGCACGTTATTATTACGGAAGGAAATTGCATTCGAACTTGACTATAACAAGTACGAATATAACAAAATACAGACAATTTTAATTTATTTCGCGTCGAAGTCAAAGTGGAGTCTGTAAAGCAGACATTCGTAAAACAACTTGAATCGAGATTGCGTTTATCATTAATTACTACTGCTCGTGTGCATGGTTTTAAAATTCTAGGCAAATAAATTGTGTTTAATATTTCTTTTTGTCAAGTTATCGAGAATGTTTAAAAATAGGAGACACATTTAGGTCATCACTGATATAGGTAACTCGTTACAACCGAGTTCGACAGTACCACGAAAGTAATTTTCACCGGGAAATATTTAACTTGGTCGTTAGCCGGCTAAAACTTATGCAAACACTCGTTAAATTCTCACCGTCCTTCCGCGATACCATTAAAACGAGAACCGTTCGCGGTACAACAGAATCGTCGTCAACTTTCGGACCGTAAATTTCCGGAACGATTAACGGATCACGTGTCTTGACGAGCTGTAAGCTCGTCCTAAAAGGCGGTCGTAGACGAAACCGAGCTCCTCCAGAGTCTCGGAAAGTTCTCCGTGGATTGTTTAAGCATGACCTGAAAACTTATCCGATCCATCGCACGAACTTTCCCTCCCGAACCTCCGAAGTTTCACCTGGAGGGCTAGGCAACGCCGGGTCCGATCTCCAACAGTTTCAGTAGATAAAGTCGTGGCGTGGTCAGGCGTCGGTCGCGCGATACTTTCGATCGCGAACGCCCCGTGGATCCTCGTCAATTTTCACGACGTCCCGTGTACAGCTTCGATCTTTCGCCTCCTGGGTCCTCTCTTGGTCCCTCGGTCCAAGCTAATCGAATTTTTCACTTTTCACACTTTCGTTGCTCTTCGGTCGCGATACCATCGGCAACGAAGACGAGGAGCTTTGGTGATCCGTGAACGCACAAACCATCGCTCACTGGATCGAACCCATGGAAGAACGTGTATACGTGAACGGTACACCACCGAATAGTCACTGATCGACCGATTACGGTAATGCAAAACGAAATGAGCACAATGGAAAAATAGTTTAGGAACTTACACTCGAACGGTGTCAATGTGTGGCAATGTGTGTGGACGTGTGGGTGGGTGGGAGAGTGTGTATGTGGTGGTATGAGGGTTCGCCTCGGGGCACCAGCCGAGCAACAGATGCTTCCAACAGGCACGCACGAAGAGCTTTTGCTGGTGGAATGTGGAGTCCGCGACAGCTCGAGCGGCTCTGAAGTCCTGCGGGCAGAGTCTGGACAGCACCAAGACTCGGAACGATGCCTACACGGTTCGAACGACTCGATCGCTCCCTTTCGTTTCGCTATTAATAGATAGCAGATCCACGTCCGTGGGGCGCGAGCGTGATACGATCCTGGCACGCTACTATTTTCGTCCCTTCTACGATCCCGTGTGGATCGCTCGTTTTCCCGCGGACCCCTTTTCGCTCTGTTCCGCCCCCGCAACGCTGCTGTCCGCCGCGAATCATCGATGAGACCGACAGATTGGAAGGGATAGACGAATTTTGAATACCTTGATTAGGAGTTTACAACGCGCCGCTAAGACCTTCCCTGTCGTTTATCCGAATCGGTTGCACTCCCGTCGGTCTCGGTAAGCGTAAAGAAATTCATTTAAAGCGTTTTATTTATCGATCGCCAGCATTCGAATTAACGCCGTCGCGGCGCAATTAATAAGCTTCGAACCGACCGCTATAGAATCTCGAGTGCGTTAACAACAGACGCATTCTTGACATTTTCAAGTGCCACATAACGAGCATCGTAGCCGACACACTTACATATATTTCTACTAAAATTAACTGGCGTTGCTCGGAATAAGCAAACTACAATCTGTATTCATACGAGACAACTTATTCATACGAATGTATTCGGACAAATTTTATTGTGTAATTTCGGTACGCGGTACAGTACGCGTTATATTAAACGTAAATAATGGGTATGTAATTTCGAGTAAAATGCAGGAAGAATATCTGTGCCACCGATAGTGATCCGAAATTTGAACAGCGTTCTTTAATTAACTCTAAACGAATACGAATACGACATAAATATGGCGGTATCCTACAACGTCGAATGCTGGAACGTCGCTGTTTTTCTACGTTTCACTGGATTCATCTTAATACCTGCACTATTTAGCAGAGAAAACGCCAAACCTCGTTAAAATTTAATAAATGACGTGTCAACTCAACCGAGAATACGAAAACTACGACGTAATCCTAAACCACAGCTTAACTGCAAAGTTCGGATTCAGGCGAAATGTGCCGGTAATTGGAACTTCCACCCATTTAAATAAACAAAGAAAAGGTAGTCTCGAGTTTTACGATTTTAAATAAAAAATATACTAAAATTTTACGAACTTCCGTTGAACGTAACAGTTATTTACGACACTTTAGTGATGCACCAAAGTAAAACCTCACGGTGCTTAACTTTATGTAAGAATTTAAAGTCATACTCAAACGTTAAGAGTCCAGCGCGTTTCTGCAACTAATACACCTACTCGACGAAAGTTTGTACAATTTCAATATATTTTTTATTCCAGAGTCTTGAAACAGACACATTCTAAAGAAACAATAACCAATTAGGATATTTCATCACGAGTTTGCTGGTGGACTGTTCGGTAAGGATTTTCTGGCAGATCCTGCCTTACAATAGACGCGACTAAACGTTTGAACAGTCTCCTATTTGTGGAGTATTCAGGTCAAACTTAGCATCGAGAAGAATTCGTTCTCTGCACCAAAGCGATTGCTTCTTGTTGTACTAATCTCTAAAATTGAGAACAACGAGTAAACTAAAATTTTCATTAATTTTATTTGGTAAATATCATATACACAAATATATAAATATCTACTCGTACAGCGAAATGTACCAGGTGGTCTTTGCGTTCGAGAAAACATACTACTATTTCGACAATTTATGTAAATGATCTAGTGTCGTAACTTGTTTACTTCTCGTGTAAGTGCCATTAATATGAAGTATACGTTCCTATAATGCCAACTGCATAGCAAGATACTATGATCGACGGTAAGCAGATGTTTCTTGCATTACTATCATATATTATCAATATGATAGTTTGCTTTTAACGTAAAGTTACATTTCGCGAAGCAAGTTTAATTTACATATCATATTTACAGAAAACCCAGTCCAACGCCATAACATTTTATTCTCAAAGTAATGTAGCACAATAGAGAGATGCTGAGGGATCATTCATCTTTTGAGTATTATTGTTAACTATTTTATGACGTCGAAGAACCCACACGAACCTTTCCTCGCCTTTTAGTTTACTGCTTCTAAAGTTATTCTGCATCTTACGCGTGTAGCAGTATGAAGGAGTACGTAGAAGTTCGTGAATCTTTAGTAACTTCTTTGACACTTCAATTAGTTTCAGCAACTTTCGTTAGTGGGTGTCAATTGATCTACTTAAACTATATTGTCTAATTGAATCACTTTGGATCACCCTCGAGATTATTAAATCTTGTGTAACACTGTGTTCGTGCTAGGATTGCGTCAAAGTTGATGCGTTGACATTTGAAAAGCACCGTTGCTAAAATGATTTTACACATGACGCAAGGGTATCCAACGCGAATGTTCAAACCTTTATTTATTCAAAATAAATTTTATATAAAGATATAAAATATAAAACGACTCCATTATTTTGGCAATGAAAAATAAGTTCAAAAGTTTCATGTTTATAACCGGTTGAAGCTATAAATTCTCATGCTAGATGATAAGAGCTTTAATTCGTGTAATTTAAAGTACGAGCGTAATTTTAGCTACTTAAAAATAGCAGTTTATTCGAAAGTGTGCCAGCCACTTGCAAACCTTTTCACATTTCCTTTTTACTTCCCTTCCGGCGTGCGTTCGCTACCGCCAAGGAAAAGAGAAAATGGAAGTGTATTTTTAATGGTCGGACGGAAAATCTCGAGACTCGTAACTATGGCCACATTGAGGAACGAGAGCCGGAAATTGCAGCGAATTAAAAACCGTTTCGCGAATGTCATTCGACGAATGGCTATTTATCGTGAAAGTCTAAAGCACTAAATTTCACCCTTCCCGGACGTCTTGCCTTTCATTTTCGGAAATACCCTCTCTCGTACCCTCTTAAAAGGGTGCAGTATGCTCTGGAAAAAGCTTCGCGAAATATCCCTCCGTCTTATCTGCGATAAGAGCTTGGATCTCTCGAGCAGACCGTAAAAATGAAATCCCCGTCGTGTCGTACGTTTGCAATAAAGCTTTACAATAAAAAATAAGCTCACCATCACAATAAACTATTGTATTTTAGCTAATTTAATCTTGCCCGTGTTTGTATTCATTTTATTATTGTTCCTTTCAAATTATTGTATTTCTTATATTACTCCCTTTGCCGTTTCATTTTGTCATATTCACCATTTTCACTGTACCTAATATTACAGATGTGGGTTAATGTAATACCAGCCAAATGGAGATTTACACCACCATTTACATCGTTATAATTTTTCCGCGATATAATTAAAACGGACATTACAAATAATTATAATTTAAAACATGCGTTGATTCTGATTATAAACAGACAATTTTGTAATCTTATTCGTTGCATACTCATATATGTAACGATTAATATATTTATGAAAACATTCTTACTATTTAATCGTAAAGAAATGCCGGGCAACATACTTTTATCTGTTTCTTTTCACGCATAGAAACCGATATGCAGAAACGAAACCAACAGCCGATGGAAAATTTTTCCATGAAGTAAGTTATTTTTGATGCTGATATAGTTACATTATATCTGTCTCGTAGCTATTCCGTATTTAAGACCGTCATAAAGCATTCTACCCACCCGAATACGTGGACGGGGCACTAAATATATTTATCCGACGACGACGACAACACGAGTTCTGTCGATAGTGAATCCTTCAAACATAGTCGCTCAAAACAGTCCGTCATACTCGATATAACTATTTATCATATTCTATTTCATTGGCCAATAGAACAGAAATTAAATCACGAAATCGATTAATTTTGCGCTCCTTTAAAAGTTTACGCGTTTTAAATAATAAATTAAAATATTTCAAACGTTTGTAACAAACTAACTCCAATACTTGTAAACTATAAAAAAAAAAATAAAAACAATAATAATCCCATTGAGAACGTAAAAATCGAATCGGAAAGGTTAAGTATTAAAGGTTAGGAGCCTGAAACCCGTCGAATCGATCTAGTGTTAAGAAGGTGAGATTTGTCGAATTGTTATTCTAATTGTCTGAAGAGAAACGAGGTTGAGAATGTCCCTATAGAGGGAAATCCCTGTGCAATTGCGCCAAGTGGTCCCTGAGTAGCTTGGTACACGGCAGCAGCTGTGTCCGTGAATAAAAAAAGCACGACGGGCAGCGTTGTGTTTTGAAAACGGGAACAGCGGCCGAGCCGACGAAATAGGAGCCGCGATAAACGAATGTGGGTTGGCCCTCTGAGAGACCTTGGCTAACGCGTGGAGGCAGAGAGACGTCGAGGAAGGAGGCTACCTTATCAGAGGTAACCTGGAAGCTCAAACTTCGTCCGCGTGGTCGACGTCGAACCACGAGGCGGCTCCTTATATGGAGGGGGCCACGCTAGAGAGAGGGCGCCGCGACGCTCGGGTATAAAGTTCCACGACGCTGACGACGTCGCTCACATCGCGCCAGAAAGCTCGCCTCCTTGGCTTACTTGCTCTCGCGTGATCGCAGATTAATTGCTCTTCTTGGGTTGCGCCGAGGACGTTAAGTTTTTACATCCACATGCACCTGACCCCCTTTTTACACGAAATCAAAGTACTTTTTTATTATAGTTCACGTCCTGTCAAAACAAATATTACAAGTTTCTACGCGGTACAGTTTCACCGTGTAAAAAGAGGATTAGGTGTAATTCAAGCCCCCTTAAATGTTTATTGGGCAATTTTAATAATCCTGTATGAATTAACTGGCTCGAAATCGAAGTTGGATGATACTAGCAGACCTTTCACCCATGTATTTTTTCGGCCCATTACCATTTTCGTGTCACTCGCAACGTTACCAGCAGATTTGGAAATAAACACAAGAGGAAGTGGGACAGAAAATGAAATTACAAAAATTTTATGTATTTTTTAACGGAATGAGAGCTGTACGGTCCAGAATCGAGTAACCAATTGATTAAGATTATTTAAAGATTTCAAGATTATTAAAATACGTGAGGATGTACCTCACTGACAACTACACCGAAAATCCTCTATTATTTTATTTTAAATTGTAATACATCATTTATTTAAAAAATAACTCGGTATGGTAGTAAAATTGAGTCATGAAAAGTCCATAAGGCGAAAGGTCTATTCGTATACCTCGTGTGTGTATTGAAAAATTTTACATAAAAAAATAGTTTTGATAGTACGAAAAAGAATACTATAAAATATTTCTATCAAACTTATATAATCTACTAAAATCATAAATATAAAAACTTATTATAATACTTACATTAAACTGGAAAAAATATTTGCTGGCATTACAATCATTTCGTGAAAGAAACATTCGCTAATTGTTTTATTTCATCATGCCTATTACCGAAATTATTCCTAATGTCTCTAGGTGACAGACAAGAAATATGGATCTTACATGTTTGTATTGGATCGAAGTCAAAATTAAAACATCTTACAGGTTATATTTTGACCAGACACAGATGCAACATAATAACATTGTCAAAAATTTCGAAATGTCTCATATTTCTTTCATTGTTGTAAAATTCCGAAAACAGGTGGGTCCGTTTCCGGTAATAAATAGAGTAAACGTAAAAAATGTACAAGAGATATAAAAATAAGTTTTGCGGATAGAGAGTGAGGAATAATTTAAGGGAGAAGTGGCATGAGAGAAGAATGAAAAGGCTACCACCTAGCGAAGGAAAATAAAAGTACAGAACAATAGAGAAGCCTAAGATCATAGGGAAAGATTGGTGGAAGCTGGGACTATGACAGGAAAGAATGAGCAAATAGACACAGCACCAAAAGGACACATCCCAACTTAAAAATTAAAATTTTTGTAAATATAAAATTATGTTAATTATGATGTCTTATAATATTAGGTACAATTGGTTTTTTGAAAGGTCTATCACTTCCACCAAATCTTAACTGGCCTGATTCTTTTTTTCCACCAAAACCACCCCCTGAAAAATTAAAACTTACAAATACTCTATATACACAGAGTATAAGTAGTTGATATAGAGTTAATTAATCTTACCAAGTCTTCTTGGTTTCCAGCCTTTCATGGTACGCCCACATTCCTGATCCACAAAAATTTTGTAACCTTTCAATGTTGTGTCACTATAACGTCTAATTGACCTCCTAGCTTCATCTTCGCTTCTCATTTCTACAAATCCATAACCCTGGGATAGTCCAGTCACAACATCGACAATTACTTTCGCCGATACAACATCTCCATACCTAGAAAAGAACTAAATATATTAACATTTAAAATATATATAATTCTAATGATGTTATAAAGACTATAAAATATACCTCTTTTAAATCGTATTTCGTAATTTTTGGACCAAATCTAGTTACAAATAATGTTCTCTCTGGTTTCGATTTTAATCCGTGAGGTGGATCATAATGTGCTTGTATGGCACGACTAACAGCTTTATCGTGTGGCTCCGTATCTGTGCCATCAATACTGCCAGATTTTAGGGGATCATACTGTCTGGCATACGGACTCCAATTCTGTAGTGTATCCACCTAAAATCCAAACATATGTCAGACTTAATCTTACTTTATTTTTACACAATTCTCGGAATGATTTCGAAAACATAACCTTTAAAATTAAAAACTGTAATCAAATGATAGTTTAAAAGAAAATGGGTCTCTTATTTATATATTTAAAAATCTTCTTAAATGAACGAAACATTACTTTTGTTTTCATTGGAAGACGTTGTTTACCGTCCATTTTCACGAACACAACAGCTTCAAAACAATACTAGTAACAATGGTTAAAGAGGTAGACACGGCACGTGACCTAGCCGATTCGGCAAGTCGGTATTACAGCAGATATTCTCTGCACAGAAATGGTAATACCATCAGATACGTTGCTGCCTGAAGAAATCAGAGGAAGGCGCTTGCTATTACCACAGACGAGATATATGAATAGACCTTTCACCACAGACGAGATATATGAATAGACCTTTCACCTTATGGACTTTCGCGGCCGAATCTGACTGCCATACCGACCTGAAAATTCGGAAGTGATTTTAGCGGCCTCTTCTCATGGATGGCGGTTAGTTGAGAAACTAGGCACTGAATTAGTATTAATGGGCAGCCAGCTGAATGTGTGCGTAAATACATGTGAGTTGACTATGGGGGGAATTGAAAAAGACAGTGCAGTATTATCAGATGGCAGACCCGTGCCCAAAGGGAGCTGCCCCACCACTTACAGACACTAATGCCAACCTCCTTGTATATGAGTTCTGGCGTTTCGTATCTCTTCGAGGATTCGAGAAAGGCGGCGAATGTCAGTCTATCCTTCTTGCTCTTACCACAGCCGAAATTCGATCTCGCATAATCTTGAGCCGAGATTCTCGACTGCCCAGGCATTTTTGACTTTCCGACCTATGTAGGCGTATACAATGTATAAGCAAAATACCATAATGAAACAAAAATTTTTTTGTAACGTTGCAAAAGACACGAAAATGGTAATGTGGTTTCGAGACCCCACAAAAATAGGCCGCAGAAATAAATTGGATGAAGGATCTACTTCTATACCACATCTGTGACAACACTCTAGAATCTTTGATGAATCAATGAGAATCAAAACTAGCCTAGCGAAGAAGCTCTATATTTATGATGACCTATGCAAAGCGGATCGCAGCCAATTTGCTAATAATATTTAGTTTTTAATTAATAATTGCATTACCCAGCTAAGAGTGATACGATTATTAATTAAACGCTAAATAATATTACCCAGGTCTCACCACGAGGAGGTTGCTGCGAATGGAGACCCGCCCTAACCGATTCCCAACCACCCTCCATTAATAAAAATCTGTGACCAACAATCGTTGGTCGAAGAAGAAACGAACGAAAGTGCAATCAACGATGGAAACAATCAACGAAAGAATTTTTGAGAAAGAATTTGTTTCTAAATTCTCATCAACAAAACAGAGAAATAGACCAAAATATTGCCTGCCTGATATAATGATTAATATAGAAAATCAAACTCCTGCCTAACTATAAATCTAAATTCATTTACATCCTACCTATCTAATCATCTAACAAAATACATAGTAAATATATTCTTCCTTGTTGATCCTTCGACGAAGATTTCCTGAAACATACTGTTACATTCTACCTAACTATAAACCTAAATTATTAAAACATAAATTGAGCAATTTGAAACAAAATACATGAAATACATTCTTCTTTCTTCTTTCTTCTATCTTCTATCTTCTATTTATCCCACGATGATTTCCTGAAACACGAACAAAGCAATATCAAACAAAATTGTAAGAATTCTTAATTGTTACCTTTATAGACCTAAAACTTCCATAGGAATATGCTCTGTAACAGAAACTTGTTTAATAGATTAGTAAGAGAACAACACTGAATCTGTAAAACTACAAATACTACAACTACAGGCAAGTGCAGTGACAAAGTAAAAATAGTAGATAATATACGAGGTTACTTTGACTCTAAAATATATTTATCGCGAAATATCTTCTTGCACGTAAATCTAATGATATATTTTAATAAGTAAAGAAAGACTTTGGGTATCCTCGATATCGAAGATACCCAAAGTCGTCGACTAAATTATGAAAATGAATTTAATTATCGAAGAATGTAAAGAACAATCGGAAGCTACTAATTTGACACTCGTTCTAAAGTTAATATAATTATAAGTATTATAAATGATATTAAAATCATGACTCTACTTTCGATCGATATTACGATATTTGTCATATTGAAAATTGCGGCGTGTAAAAGCATCGCACGCTTGAATAAAACGCGACGCGACACGTGCTCATAAGCGTGCAGTGAGTGTGGGTATCAGATTGATCCCCCCCGGCCTTGATTATCAGAAAAGCAAGTCGCGCCCCTGACCCACGTCGATCGGACCTCTCTACGTACAACCGCCGGGCCCTGGAGGACACACGGTCACAACAGGACCCGCTTAGTACTCGAGAACGGATATGGGTCAGGAACTCTCGCCGGAGGTCATTCTCTTTTCCGTATAAAGAGGAGAATATATGCGCTCGGCGAGGCCCCACTTAAGCTGAACCAAGCTGCACCGGGGTTGAAGCGGTAAGAGCTATCACACCTACTACACAGGCGTCACATGTTTCATTCTATCAAACAGAGGTGATCGAGCAAAACTCTCCGATCCTTTCGGTCGAGACATAATCTCGGAAAGCGAGAACCAGAGAACAAGCGAACGAGAGGAAGTTGTACTATTCATATATGTATATGTACTCATTATATATTCATTTTAAAATCAGTGTCAAATTAAAAATGAATCTACTATGACATTCGTCATCTTGAAAATCGCGGTGTGCAAGAAGATTATAATTTTAAACAAAAGATACTCAGATAAAACAATATACATGTGTTACTATTCACGGGTAACATTCATACCCGCGGTCACTACACTTGCCAAAGGTAGCACGTATACAACCAGTCGAAGCTTAAGTCTAGTTTAATTGTACCGAGCAATTATTTTGTTTAACCCCTTGCCTTACGATTTAATTTCCAACTGTGCGTGCCAAAAGGTCCAAGGTCCATAGGTCCGGTAGACTTATCACATCTTTGAGACGTCTTGTTCATGTTTGGCCCGGTAGACTTATCGCTTCTCTGAAACATCATTGTAAGCTGAGGTATTAAAAAGGAGGTTCTTAAACACTTAAAAATGATCTATCACCTAGCTAAAGGGAATTGAACAGAGTATATTGGCAATATGTTACAAGAATTTAAGCTGAAACGTAAAAATAAACATCTTATATTCATCAGTGTCATCGAAGCAAACATGGTATATGCATTGACACCATGTTATACATGTCAAAAGGGGCATTGTTATATTCATCAGTGTCATCGAGACACCAAGTTGAATCAACACCAAACAATCAAACGAAATGGAAAAATCAAACAAAGTATCTCCGTAGAATGTTACGAGAATTCGAGCAAGAATATAATATTACATTATTATATCTTGCAATATTATACATATCAAAGCAGTCAGATACATAAATAAAGTTGAATTCATATCAAACAAACAAATAAAAATAATAAAATATAAATAAGTGGAGTGGACTTACTACTTGTTGTCAGTATATAGGGTAGTTACCACTGGATCAGCTGTAAAGTAAGAAAATATTCATATTATAGCAACGTCGGTTAGGCAAGCAAGGCAAAATCAGTTCATTGAAACGAAATTGGTATCAAACGATAGAATAGAAGAGGGGAGAGAATTTTTAAACAGTTCTTACCGTAGTCATCACCGTCCGGCACTGGTCAGTAGTGGTCAGCACTGGTCAGTATTGGTCAGCCCTGGTCAGCCATGGTCAGCGCTGGCCAGTAGTGGTCAGCAGCGGCCAGCAGAGGTCCCCGGTTCACTTCAGGCGATTTATACACTCCCGAATCCGCGACGCGACTGAAGAATTCTTCGCAGTGACCCTGCTTATACGTCTAAGGTGATGGAAGGGTGGGGAGACCAGTCAGAGCCAAAGCTGGAGTTAACAGTTAAGACTGGCTTGTCTACGAAGAAACTATTTCGATTGGTCCCACCTCTTGACCATTTCTGGCTCCTCACTGGAATGCTGACCTCGATGTCAACCTCACTGTTGACCACTAGTGACCATAAGCTAGTCATTGTTGATCATTATTTTTTAACGGAATTAAAGCTGTACGGCCCATCATTGGACATTAATCGATTAATTTCATTGGAGTAATCAATCGATTAAGAGTATTTAAAAATTTCAAGATTATTAAAATTCCTAAGGATGTATTTCATTGATACGTACACCGCAAATTCTCTATTTTTTATTTTAAATTGTAATACATCATTTATTAAAAAAATAACTCGGCAGAAACGTATTTGCGACTCGAAATCAGTTTAATCAGACTGTGCATCGGGGCCCCGGAAACTCCTCATTCCTCACTTTCGTACACTATGCCCAATTGTTTTTCAACTGACCGTCATCCATGAGAGGAGGCCGCTAAAATCACTTCCGAATTTTCAGGTCGGTATGGCAGTCAGATTCGGCCGCGAAAGTCCATAAGGTGAAAGGTCTATTCATATACCTCGTCTGTGGTGATACATTCTTCCATTAGATGCTTGGTCTATTCTATACCTCATCTGTGATCGCACGTAGTAACAACCTAAAGCTGTCGGAACATATTTTGGCGTTATTCAAATGTGGTTATAGCAAGAATAATACGCTTTGTGATGTGTTTATGAAATTAGTGATAACAATAATAATAGCATACAGTATTATTACAAAAGTAAAGACGCCTGTTAATACTAACATGTCTTCCCTCCAAAAGTCGATTTTAAAATCGAAACTACCACCGTCAGGCGTCAATTTTGGAATCGGCGCTAGGTTAGTTTGTTATGGTTTATGTAAACTTCTGATCTTGAATGAAATTTTAACAAACTTAAATTCTATCGAAATAATTTTATGTTCACATTCATTTAATGTACGTTTAATGTAGAATATCAATATTCATAAAGCACTAATTATACCTATCTTTCTCATTGACAGGGTTAGTAAGTCAAAGGGATTTCAACGTAAGAGAGATTATGAACCAGTTGAATGGACTCCATATTTTGATCATTCAGAGGATATAAAAGTAGGAAATGACACATTTCATATTTATACCAAAGGGATGGAGGGGCCGACGTTAGTATTGTTACACGGAGGTGGTTACAGTGCTTTAACATGGGCAGAATTGACTGTATGTATTAATTAACTAATATATAAAATACAGAACAATTTGCATATTTTGTACATTTTAGAAATCACTTATGACCATGATAGTCTGCAAAGTTATGGCAATTGATCTTAGAGGCCATGGTGATACGTGTACTACAAACGAAGAAGACTTGTCTGCAAATACTTTAGCAGAGTAAGTGAAATTTGCAACTACTAAACTAAAATTATATACAGTGAAATCTCTTTATCCATGGTTTATTAGAGCAAACAAAAAAAGAAACAATGCGGATGATAGAAAAGCTTTTCAAAATGTTTCAAATTGTATAAACTTTAAAGAACAAAATTATCAAAATGATCCTATCATGGAACGGAGCATTAAAGTTATATGAACGATTACAGAAGCATTAAAACCTTTGCAATAACATTATAACTATTTAAGGTGTTGCACCAGTGTAATACTTTCAAAAATATCGCGAACATTGGGAATTAATTCTGATAAAACTATTAATACAATTTCTGGCGCTTACTAATACAAACTCTAATAAGTATACAAGTAGTTTCGGAAAATTTCTATGTTAAAATAAAAGGCATTTCCAGTGGATGTCATACTGTACCAAGGTAAGTTGAAGATAATAAAAGAATTAGAGAATTTTGTGAAGAAGAGTAGTATAAAACACGACCTCGGTCGCCTAGTTTACTCGACTATCGTCACTATCGTCCTTCCACAAGAAGGCGCAGCGTGTTTACATCCCCACTCTTGCTGTAGTCCGCTGATTGGCTGTCACCGATCTTCGTCACAGTTTTCGACCAATAACTGTGAGTCGGCGAACTGCAACAGGAGTGGGGATGTAAACACGCTGTGTCTTCTTCTCGTGGAAGCACGGTAGTACTAATTGTTTTGTTGTGGGTGGAAGGGGGTGTGGATCTGAAGGTCAATCTAATTTTCTTAAATGAAATGCTATATTCTTTTCTTCAGAAAGTAACAGCAGGCACTGAGACGAATCCAAAGAGGTGCTCAATTGTAATAACTTCAAAATTAATTTAAATATTTACATGGGACTTATCACGAATCAATTTTTAGATATTTAAATATTTACATGCATTTCTGAAACGCTGTGTATTTTTATATTATTATTACATGTTCTGATTTTTCTTCCTTGGTTGTTAGAGACGTTGCAGCGGTCATAAAAATAGCAGCAGCAGGAGACAGTTCTGTAATTCTAGTGGGCCATAGTATGGGTGGTGCGGTAGCAGTTAGAGCAGCGCCGTTAATCCCAAATTTGAGCGGATTAGGAGTTATTGATGTTGTCGAAGGAACAGCGATGGATGCATTAGCGTCTATGCAAAGCTTTTTAAGATCTCGGCCATCCAGTTTTAGTTCTATTTCACAAGCTGTGGAATGGTGGTTAGTATATTGTATTAAAAAAAAAGTTATTGCGTTTTCCTATTCTGTGCACATTTTTCAGAAGGAAGGTATTTTTTGGCTAATCCTGTGCAAAATAAAATGTTATTTATCTCTTTGACATGTTACATATTTGTGTTATACAATAGAAAATTAGATTACAGAAGAATATCTCTAATTATCCACATTTTAGTGTACGAAGTGGCCAAATCCGTAATGTACAATCAGCTAGGGTGTCAGTTCCTGGACAAATAAAGAAGTTAGTATTCGTATACGCATATTGTATTACTGATATGTTACTGTTACTTCCTGCTATTGTAATGTGATGCATATTGCATTATTCCAGCAACGAAACCAATGAACTAGCTACACATGATATCGATCCGTCATCTATATCATCATGCGAGTATAGTACAGAAACTGCGATGCCACGAGAAGATATTATACAAGAGGAGGAACCTGTAAATATGCCACCACCACCTCCACCTGCTACTTCCTTAGCTGCTAAAAAATATGTTTGGAGGATAGACTTATCCAAAACTGAGCAGCATTGGTTTGGGTGGTTCAAAGGATTGTCTACAGCATTCTTAAATGTACCAGTTCCTAAGGTACTTCTGTTGGCTGGAGTCGATAGATTAGATCGAGAACTCACAGTTGGTCAGATGCAAGGTACAATTAATGCAATAAACGATTTATGCAAAGTATTGGATTGATCAATAAGTAATGTACTGTTGTACAGTATATTAAAATTGTCTTCTCTATCATTAGGCAAATTTCAAATGCAAGTATTACCCGCATGTGGGCACGCAGTACACGAAGATGTTCCAGACAAAGTAGCAGAAGCTATTGCTACATTTATGGTCAGACATAAATTTGCGGAACCAGCATCCGATTTTACCCGGTATTATTTATTTAATTAGATTAAATGTATGTATCGTATAGTGTTTTATTTAATACCTACTTTTATTGTATGTTTCAGAACATTTCCCGCTTGTTAGGGCCGCATAAAATTGTACAATGTTATATTTGTAATACGATTATGAGAAATTCGATAAATTAGGTAAAATGAGCATTTTATTTATTTAATAAAAGGTATGTTCACAAAATATACGAGTATATGTGTAAATAAAAACATTATTTCGACATGAAAAATAAATTCGATCTTGCATATACAGATTGTCTCATTCCTTATTGCTTGCACATATACTTATTATAACTGTGTATTCTATGTTTATAAAGATATATTGTCATCTGTACAAAGATGCGAGTAAAAAATATAATAAAAAAAGGTTTTATCGAATGGTTCTTAAGGCTACTGTGCTACTCTGCAGGTGCTACACTTTCAAATTTATAATATTTTAAAATGTTCGTATAAAATATATACAAATTCACGGCAGTACATACAGACGTATAAAATTCTCTAATGCAAACATTCCTATATCCGTACAGAAATTAGTGAAGTTTATAAACAACGATAGTGTCATGATTTAGATCATGATCCGATCTTAGAAAGTAAATTGAAACATTGTTTTCTTTTTAAATTCTATATTTGCTAGAGTTCTCGATCACACAGTTAGTTGTCAAATCCAAAATTGTATAGATTTTTTGTGACAACACATGGCGGTCCTGCACGACCAGCCATTAAAGGAGCAACCTTAAAATATATTATTTTATGTTATAGATTCATATACGTATAAAATATAGTGTCTCTCAAACTAAGGTCTGGGTTAAAATCTCATAAAAGATAACCATAGAGAAAACTTTAAATGTTAGTAAATATGTGCGCCATAATCGGTACACAAAAAGTTTTAGTTCTTTTTTTTTTTTTTAAATCTCGAAAAAGCTGAAAATATCACATTCTAGACAAGAATATACCCCCTTAATAATTCAATTTTTGATGGTTCGGAGATCCAAAGGAAGGTGAAGTTTGAGGAACACTGTTTTAAAATTAAATATATAATATATTGTTCTGATTTATCCCTACCTGTTCCCACTCATTAAGATGGGGATCGTATGCTTCAACAAGCGTGAGATATTGTTGGCCATCGTAGCCTCCTACTGCCATAAGTCTATCACCAAGCACACAAACACCGACCGCGTCCCTAGGGCAACTCATTGGAGCTACCATTGTCCATGTATCTGTTTTAGGATCATACCTAAAAATAATAAAATACAAGATATTTATGTACGTTATAATTAATCTACCGACTGCACATTTTGAACATGCTTACCTTTCAACACAGTCGAACCTGCTGGCATTGGGATTAGTGCCAGGTGCATCATGACCACCCAATGCATATAGACATCCGTTTACTACACCTACGCCTACGCCACCTCGTCGTTTTGACATTGGCGCGCACGGAGTCCATTTGTTCGTATGTGGATCATAACATTCCACAGTATTTAAACAAGAACTTATATCTCTTCCACCAACTGCATATAATCTAAAAATGATACGCGTATGGTACCACACAATTATGCAATTGTATATCTGTTGGCTGTTTTAAAAGCTTACTTATCATTCAATACAGCGACGCCGACCGTAGATCTTTGCATAGACATAGGAGAAACTGCGCTCCAATGACGCGTGGCCGGATCCCATCTTTCTACAGTATCGAGAAAACTCCAACCATCATGACCACCCACAGCATATAAAGGCCCACCTAACACAGCTACACCTAATCCATGACGATGTACATTCATGGCAGATAGCGTGCTCCAAACAAATGAAGAAAAATCAAAGCACTCTACTGTGTTTAATGTTTTTAATCCATCCCTTCCACCCGCAACTATTAATTTTTTGTCAACGATAGCGGCGCCGAATTGAAGTCTCCTACCAATCATGTGTACTATTGGCGTCCAAGCATTATCGCGTAAAGAGAACGCATCTATAAAGTTAGTACCTAATAAAAATAATAATCGGTTTAGTAAAAATCCACTTTATCGTTTACTCTGACGTCATTTACCTTTGTTAGCATCCATGCCTCCAACAGCTAACATATGACCCACTGTAGCTTTCCTGGGTTTTGTTCGTCCTGACTGAAGCAACGGTCTACGCTCAGGTAGAAGATGATACTTGAGTGCTTCCATGACTAACTCCTGCACCACTTTTTGATCTTTGAACATTTCATTACTCTCAATATTGTCTGCTATAAACTGTATAAATTCAATAGCATCTACTCAAAATTTATAATTCACATAGCTTCTACAGATGCGTAAGAGAATTTAGCTCACCGCAGGTGACAATAAAGGTAGCTTTACAAGACTTAACAGTCGGCTTGCGTCTTCTCGTCTACTTTCTGGACCATGTTCCAACCAGGTCATAAGTGCCTGAAATTAATAGTAATAGTTCATTTTTCACCTCAATCTATGTAATATTATCTTAATTCTCTCCATATATATTGGATATAATTTCTTACATGAAAAATAGTTTCTTCCGAAGGTACATTTAAATCCTCGGATTCTAATAATTTGGCAACCTCGTTAGCAGATAGCAATAAAAATTCCTGATTCTTTGTAACTTCCATAAAATGTTTGGTAGTATAGGCATGAGCATGTTCTAATAAATCTGTACAAGCTTGCGTATCCGCAAACATTCTTATTCCTAGACAATTACTCGGATGGAGCTGTTTTCTAAGAAATTGACAACAGGCCTTAACAACTGGATTTAGCTGTAACAATCGTGCCGTCGCTAAAAGAGTCTCTATGCAATCTTCTCTTAATTCTATGCAACCTATATTTCAAAATACAAAAATTGATTTTACAATATTTGCAAATTATCAAATCATTGGTTCGATGCTCGTATTATGTATCGATTAATGTGCTCTTCAAACAATTATACCTGTGTAACAATAACAAACCAAAGCCCATAAAGCATCCCCATCTACTCCCATTAATTCAACTTCATTTTGCGCCGATTCTCTCAAAGAACTAGTGAACATGGCAGCAAAATATTCTGAGCTAGCGCTAAGTACTAAACGATGTGCTGGGAAACGTCTGGTCCCTATGAAAACAAAATGATGGATTCATTGAGATGTTATAAACGTCGTTAAAAAACAAGATAGTTTCTGTATAACTCTGTTTACCTGCAATTAACGTAACGTCTGTCAATTGTTGCTTATGTAAATACTTTTCCATGATTTTGAGACTGTTTTCCGCGTGCTTTTCATCTTGTGAAGTAGAAATACTCGATACCATGCTCGAAATACTATGTTCACTTATAGACGCTTCTTTGTTCGAGAACAAAAGTTCTTTGAGAAGCTCGCCTTTGTTTGATCCCATTCCAGTATGACTTATTTTCGACATTTTCGCGATATAAATTTGACAGATATCCTTATCGTGACTTGATTGCTTCAAGACATTTGACGTTATGAAAATTTCGAACGCGAGTATTTAAATTATCATGCGACTGACGGTCCGTCGAGTACTGAACCTTGGTAATAACCGCTGGAGTCAATGGCACTGACCTGACCGACTACCTCTTTTCATTTCTTAGGTCAGCGCACTCATTCGTGCACGAGATGCATATAAACAAAGAAACTAATGTTTGAAATAAATTTGTTTTATAATATCGAACTAGCTGCATTATTTTCGTAAGAAAAAAATACATCAAAAAGTATACGGTAATCGTTTACGTTTAAATTTGTTGTCAGTGTCAATCGCGTTATAGTTTGCAACTAATATACGCAATATATAGTAGGTTATATCGTCTATCTAATCATAGTAATGGGACTTGGATAGCTTCATATCATTTCGAATTTAAAAACTGTTTGAAGTTCTATTTATCTTAGAAATCTTTGAAGTCTTGATGTCTCACATTTTTATTACATCTGTTTAAACAATTTCATTGACATACAACATGCAATATTAAACAAACTCTGAAAAGTTACAGTTATTGGTTTTTATGCAGGGTGATTTTTTTGCTAGAAACCCCAAAAGCAGTTACTGCCATCTATTTGATCGCAATACATCAAAGATCAATGCTGTTCTTGAAAATCTTAAAATTTGCCACACCAATATTTAATCTATCAGTTAATATTGGTAAGGGAAACATTAAATGGGAGAAATTAACACCTTGCACTATTTTCACGAGTCAGACTCGTGATGAAAATTTTAGGCCAAACTCGAATATCACGAGTCAGGCTCGTTGTTCAGAGTAGTGCAAGGGGTTAAATATTGATTAGAAAAATAAGTTTTATTGTACTTTATTTGTAAATATATTTCCTCGGATAATACATTTGCTTTTATCGTGTCGTTCAATTTAATTAAAACGCATTCTGTAATTTCGTTTGTTGAGGTTTACATTTATAATTCCTTATAATAATATTCCTAGCATCTTCATGTATCTCACTTTGGTCTACAATATCAGTGGTGACGAACAACGGTCATCGCGTGATACATGCGGCTGTTAAAGTGTTAAGCGTAAAAATATTTAAACTAAAGTATATGGTTTCACGTTGTCAAAAAGAAGGTTCATCGTTGCAAATGTTCAGACCCCCGGACAATCGCAAGATATAAAATCGGCAGGTAAAAGATGCAACTACAGCGGTCAAACAAATGCAATAAAATAATTTCGTAAAAAATATTTTACACGACAAAACTGTCGTCATAATACCGTGTGTCTGCCGTGGCGCCGTAATTTTTATCTAATACATTATTGACTATTAGTGCACTATATACAGATTGCTCCTTCGCATGTTTGTTCCGGTTTCGTTGTGAATTCAGTATTTGATTCCGAGAACGACCCGTAAAAGATTCTTTTTCGACAACAACAAAAGCGATCGAGGAGCTCCGTCAAATCGCTCCTATCGGAATCGTCCTTATAAAGTCCGCTAGATGCTTCGTCCGTGCATGCTGCTATGAAAGTTTGCAAATCATTTTTCGGGAAACCGTCACGATAATAAATCTTAATCGTATCGTACGCGTCCATTATCACAGAAATAAATAAACTTAAAATAACGTAAATGAACAACGAAATAAAGGTATATAAATAAATTCTAAAGTACCACCACAACATTGTCGATTTAAACGACGTTATGGTAAATGTTGCGAACATGTCGTCGCCGTTTATAATAGAGAACAGGCATTCGGAAGTTGTGGCGAGCGATCGGAATTTTATATGATACGGGCCCAAGATCAACCAACCGCAAAACGTAAAACCAGCGTAAATAAGAATTGCACATAACAGAAACCGTGCGAGCTTTGGGGCAGCTTTTTTCAATGTTAAAATAACGACGTTGTAGGTTTTAAAGAAACCGAGGTACCGCAATACACCAAACCAAACGAATAAATTTCCAGTGCCAAGAAATATGCTACACAAATTCCAATAATCACTGTTATACTGTTTCTGTTCGATTTGTTCTTTCATGGCCGATCCAAAAATAATTAAAAGATCATTGACGATAATCATTAGATACCAAAAATTTAAAAATTCTAATCTTCCTTCGAAACTCAATATCTTACCGTATGTTTTCTTAAAAAAGCTGATGGTCTCGAATTTTAATAACTGTGCTCGGTATATAGCTCTGGAGCACAAAGAAAGAGATAACGAACAAATAAAAATTACTAGTAAATTTAGTAATGTCCTTAAAATTGATTCGATACGGCTATTCGTTATATAACGTACATCGCCTTTACATTGCAACCTTTTTGGTTCTGCATCTAACGAAAGTAACATCTGTCCATCGAAATCACGATTATCAAACTCAATGTTAACGTCAAATTTATAACAATCCGGTGGTGTCATAGGCCCGGCAGCTCTTAAGTTGATTGTTTTTAGGGAAAATTTTAAATGAGCGCTAACAAGGGCTGAGAAATTTACACTGATCTTTTGTTCGGACAATAAGTTCTTTGATGCATTAAATTCGTTGTAAAAGTTGTAAGTTATATTTAAACAAGTTTCTACGATTTCTTTATCAAAAACATAACTTTCATTAAAACCAAATACAATACCTTCTTTGTATTGATATAAACATAGAACAACTGGTACTACCGAATTGTCTTCCGTTATGTACGAATACGATCCAATCGCGTTACTGACATTATAGTAACCATCTAAAGCATAATCAATCGTACTATAGAAATCATCTTGTGTATAAATTGCCATAGGGCCAGTTGCTGGAGGATAAGCTGGTACCTAAAGATAATACCGTTATATTTTAAAACCAATTATATTGGTTTTAAACACATAGTTTTCATAAAAAATAAACGTTGAATAATATGTTACCTCGCGAAGAGTATCCCATTCTTTAAGAAATAGGTGTGAAAAAGCTAGTCGATTATCCCAAGCATAGTTTACATGCATGTAATTTCTATGTGCAAATAGACACAGTTGTACGGTCACCAATATAATTTTAATAACTTGCACAGCAAATTTATATGGGAAACGTCGCTTTGCTTGCCATTTTTCGATCGGGTTCATGAAAAAGAATTTCAGCTTTCTACGCATCTTTTCTTCCGCAAATGTCACATTATAGGTAAGATGATCCGTTATTGTTGCCCGATGATGGCTATAAACATAAGAAAATTTCTAATATAAACTAAAAAGTATCAATGATTCGATTTAAGCAATTTATCGTGTAAAATGTTTTTCTTTTACTTTTACACTCGTTAGCATAGATGCAACTGTATTTTCATGACAATTTCTATCTATGAACATGTAACATAAAAAAAATAAAAACATTTTTTAAAAAGGTTAAGTGCTTGATTTATCAGAGGCATTTAAAATATCTATTAATTTGTTTATGACAATGATTGTGTCTAGTAATATCTGTCAAATCTATCGACGCGACTGTAAAAGAAATACATTTTAAAAAACATATTTTCGTTGTAACTTAGTCGTTGAACAAAAAATAATTTTGTAAAGAAATCTAGTCGTAGGAGAATGTTTATAAGTTTAATAACGTGTTATAAAGACACGATAATGAGTGCAATACTCTATTGTGAATGATGCATCAGTCGACAAAGGAAAACAGTGATACGAAGGTTACATTAACGTCCATATTGATCGATGATCGCGCGAAGGAATGAAAAACGATAATCTGTGAATCAAATCTACGAACAGTGCGATTAACTTACAAACCTTGGACTGATCTCATTCTCGTTGAGCAGTCCATTTTCACCAGCCACTTCATCCTCGCTCTCGGATCCATTGCTCCATGAATGTTTAACGAGAATATTACTTTCCGGGTACATTTTTCTTCCTACATTTCTTTCTCGCGGTTCCGACATTTTATAGGAGTTGTTGTTCAGAACAATACTCAACGCACCTAAATTGTCGATTGAAAATGTTTTATCCCGCGGAATTATTGTCCCAGTTTCTGACGGACAATAGAAAATCAAGAAGTTGTTCACATGCGTTGATCTGCGTAGTAACACGAGAAAGATTATTGAGTGACATTGGATTTCGTCACGAAATTATACACAGTACTGAACGGAAGCAACGTTCGCAACGTACTGGATCGTAAAACACAAAGACAGCCGATTGCGATAATATAACACTGTTAGCAGTAGCCATCGGACGCCATCCAATTCACGTATCAAACTTTACTGATTGGCGCGCTGCTTCGGCTGTTTATGAAACCAACTGATCGCAGTATAGGGTTGAGCGGTGGGGAGGATGCAAATTGTTAGATGATCGTGTAAAGCTTCTCGTCATAAATGTCTGATGTCATATTCTTCAAAGTAAGAGATTGGAATCGCATACGAAGCAGAAATATTTATTCAAAATATTTTCAAGGTCGTAAGACGTATACCGATAATTCCATTTAGTAACATCAAAGGACCACTTAAACTGCTGCACGGTCTGTATCGCACTTGAGATCTCCCAAGTAATTAAATGCGAATACCTGTTATCGCTGGTGCTTATAAATTTAAATTACAAATACAATTATAATTAATTTACACAGGCACTCAGGGTGAACCACGATGGATACACGAGCACTATCCCGTTGAAGCGTCTAGAGTTGAAAGCGAGGTTATCTATCAATTATCAAAGTTCACGAAAACAAAGCACAGTCACGCGAGGAAAGGGATTAAATCCACGTAACGGTAGGTAATTGGATCAGAGTGTTCCTTCCTTTGTTTATCACGACCAATCGCTTATTCGTGACTCGTCGGGAAAAATGGAATACGAAGATTACAGATCGCGATAGGAAAGAGATCAGCTGATGTAATTCGATGGAAATACGAAAGTGTGAATTTGGTGGGCGAGAGACAGCACGCGGATGAACCCTCCGCGTGCGGTGATCGAATGACTAGGGGGGTGGTGCGTGCGTTTCCTTTCGTTCCGAGGATCGGCGCGCGTTGCCGGTGCAGCTTCTGCGCGAGCGTATCGGGTCTCGTAACACACACGAGCGATGCGTCCTGCCGCGCGCGCGAAGTGCCTAGGAGAGGAAGCGCAGCGGCGAAGCCGAGCTAAGCTCGGCCTTCCTCGACCGACCGTAGGCGCAGTCTCTCATCGTCAGTCTTTCTCGTTCCTAGATTCGAGAGAGCACACGCTTTCGGAGCCTGGGCAACCTTGGAGTGTGTCCACCTTGTCGCTAGCCATCAGCTATCGTCCTCGGTCACCGATCCGTACGTCCCTTTCTCGTTGTTCATGCGACTCTCGCGGTGCTGTGTACAGTGTCACGAAGTGTTATTTTGTGGGGTGCTGTCGGTATCGTCGCAAGGATAAACACATCGCAGAGGCGAGACGGAATTGATTCCCTCTCTTTTTACTCCGGTAGATTACTTTCTCTCGATTTCCACAGAGGCGGACGGGTTCGCCGTTTACCGGAGCCGCGTCGCGCGACTCGCCGAAGAGCGCGATAAGCATGGTGGATCAACAGCAGACGGATCAGCAACAGGAAGCTGTGCCGAGCGTGGTGGAGTTGAACGTGGGCGGTGTATTTTACACCACCGCTCTGACCACCCTCACCCGGGAGGGCGACTCTCATCTTGCCGCTTTGTTTTCGGGCAAAACGCCGGTAGAGAAGGATGCGAAGGGAAAGTATTTCCTGGACCGCGACGGGGTGCTCTTCCGCTACGTCCTCGATTTCCTGCGCAATCAGGCGCTGGTCCTGCCGGAGGGTTTCCGTGAGAGGGAACGATTGAAGCAGGAGGCGAATTTCTACGGTTTGCCCGGATTGGAGCGCGCCGTTATGGAGAACGGTAAATCCTCTGGATCACTTGGCTCCTCATCGGGTAAGAGAGCGCCCGGATACATTACGATTGGTTATCGCGGAAGCTTCGCGTTTGGCCGCGAAGGTCTGCCGGATGTGAAGTTCCGGAAACTCTCGAGGATCCTCGCGTGCGGTCGCGTGACTCTCTGCAGGGATGTTTTCGGGGGGACGTTAAACGAGAGCCGCGATCCGGATCATGGTACCTCGGATCGTTACACCTCGAGATTCTTCCTCAAGCACAGTTCCATCGAGCAAGCGTTCGACATGCTTCAAGAGCAAGGATTCAAGCTGGCGGGTAGCTGCGGTTCCGGCACCGCTGGCACCAATTCCGAGCAGCTGAAACCCGGCATGGACACCGAGGAGAATCGTTGGAATCATTACAACGAGTTCGTCTTTGTCCGCGAGTAAATACCGTTCCTTGTTCTTCCTTGGGTCTGAGTTAGCCGAAGAGGCTCGGTTGTTCGGAGTAGCCGGTGTCTTCCCGACAGAATCGACGATGTATGTATCCAGTTCCAACCGCGAGGCTGGAATTTCGGGATCTTCCGTTATCGTCGACGACCACGGCACCGAAACAAGTTGGCTTCCTGATGATTTTCTTTCACGGGCTGGAGTTTACACGGGCCGGTAGAATAAAGAGTAGATGAACTTTTTGTCGTTACAAAGGACATCGTGTATGTACTATTAAAACTCGTCGAGCTGCTAGAGCGACAATATCACGCATCCCTCTTTTAAACAAAATATTTTCTTCGACCGATGGGGACGCGACGCCGTCTCGCCATCGAACGGAACGAGATGTTTCTCTCTTACGAGGTGTCTTTGTTTAAATTATCAGACGCGTCTCGTACGCGTATAGCTCGACGCGGGAGTCGAACGTCGGTCGGAGTACTTCGAAAACGTAACAAAGCAAAGTTCGTTTAGCTTAATTCCACGAGACGAATACTAATTGGCTGTGGTACGAAGACCAAGACACGGAAGAAACTTTGAAGACGACCAAGAGGGTAATATTGGATCGTCGGATCTTTAAAACTTTGTTTTAATGCTTGATGTTTTGGCGAGAGTGCACAAAGCGGAACCTGTTACCGTAACATTTGGGAGCAAATTAGATCGGTATTCGATAATGGCCACTTTTTCAAATTCACGTACAGCGGGTGTCTAACCAGAAATGTAATTAGCTATTTTATTTCGAACTATTTTACGTTGTCCCTTGTATTACAACAGTTTTATTCAAACTTGCTCTCTTCGAGCTTCTAGGCTTCAATGACGACAGAGTGTAATTTACGAATGTACACAATCATGTTTATTCAATGTACTGTAGATGCGTGCAAGGTCTGTTTGCTAATAGATTACTAAGGCAATCTATCAGTGTATCGATAAATGTTTCACGATGCGTTACTCGAAGCAAGAGAGAAAGCAAAATACCATCGAGGATCCACCATTCCAGAAAATGCTCCGGATAAAATAATTAAAGCTTCTATTTGATAGTTGCTGCGTTTCGGCGTATCGAATATTTAAATTCATTAGAGCTAAGATGAAATTAAAATGAAGTTTATTTACCGTTCTGACGCTCGTTTCGGAGATCTCTGGTCACTTTTATGGGCTTCAAGGTCAGTTCAAAGTTATTACAAAACGCGAGAAAAGAAAATTATGTACATTTGTTTGACGATATTGGACCTAATCGCATTTGTAATTGTCCTGTTTCTGGCCACCTCGAATTACATACCTGGTCACAATGTTACACCGTTATAAATGAAAGGACTATCGTCTGGAAAATACGATCTTAACTTCGACATTGAAGATCGGGGACTCGAGTTTACTCGAAAGATTTTACGCAACGTTTCGACGAAGAAAACAAAACGGAGTCTTCTGAGTGGTTCTTACCGACTTTTCAATCATTGCGGAAGCATGCCTGAACGGAATCTCTAGAAAACATTAACAAGACCAAGTAGTGCGAATCGATAGTTGAACGTCTTCGAATCGAATTTGAAAACGTGTATGAAAGCAGGACGAAGAGAGATTAATTGGGTGTCCAGCGAACGTTTCTCTCCTGACGTTCATCCTCGTCGATCCTATCATCCGGGCGAGATGGGAGAAAGGGTAGACGAATTCAAGATTCAGCTTCAAACAACGCTGGTCGACTGTTCGTGGTTGAGTTTGATGTCGGACAGGATGAATGTGTTGTACAGGAACGGGCCTTGTATGTACGTATCGTGTAAACGTAAATTGTGTGTACGTACAAGCCAGCGCGGTGTTGAACATACGTAAAGCGATCCGAATGAACGCGTATCTCGAAAGATACTGGAACGATTCATTGTCAGAGTCTTAAAAACGGAATTGGTCCGCGTGTCACGCGCGTAAAGACCCTGACAGAGCTAGGTGCGTGCATATAGTGATGGGACTGGGACATGTTGATGCTTTTTATACATTCACGACTTGAATTAAAGTATTCCAAGAAACGTCTTCGAACGATTTCAGATTTAACGAGACAAGCGACTATCGTATCGATACTTATCAATTGCGCAAAGTTTGGTACCTGTTTAATTAGATTAAAAACTCGTCAAAGATAACGGAAAGCGACGGTAACAATCGATAGTCTGAATTTCAAAACGTAATTAGCAACTTCTTAAGGGAGTATTCTAGTCTAGATGTCAATTTTTTATGTTCTTTGGAATTAAAAAAAAAAAATTATACCATTAGGTTTGGCTTAGTGTACACAATTTTTCGTGCAAAAATATTTAAAATCGATACGGTGTAACCCCTTCGGTTATCGCGTTTCTCACGATTCCGACCGTTTTATTTATTTAGAGCGAATAAACCAGAAATCACTTTGATCGGTATAAACGTGGGCAACATCGGTTGCAAAAATGATGAAAGATATTAAAAAATACAATTTTGGCAACACTTTGAAGCTGGTGTATCGACTTTTTGTTTTATTGTTTACTTTCAAAAATCGTAGTAAAAACATCGGATTTTGAAAATTTTGGTACGGACGATGAAGTTGATCGGTTATCTAGAATTGGAGATGTCGTGGTAAATATTTAAGGAAATGTGGTTTTAAGAAAAATCGCGTTTAGAGTTTTATATACGAATTCATCAATATCCATCGGTACAAATAGTTTCGAGAACATATAAATCGATTTTTATCGACTTTTTTTAAGGTTCTAGATTAGAGTACCTCCTTAAAGTTAGAACGTAATAAATATTCCATTAATTGATCGCGCTGAATATTTCAAATTTAAGAGTAATAAGGATAACAATTGTATTGAAATAACGATTCGTAGATTTCCATTTGATTATCTTCCAAACTTTTTAGTAATTCAAAACTGATTTTCCCATTATTTTTACCACCAAATTGACTTTGTTTCTTATCGGTGATGATACGAGCTTTAATCGAGACCAAGAATTTATACAAAATTAGAGCGTTCTTTTTAAAGAATGGAAAATCGCACAAATACTTCGCGTGAAAAAAATATTCAAATAATCTTCTAGATGAAACAGTCTATTCGAAGTTTTTCGAGTAATGCACAACGTCTGATTAGCTACATTGTTGTCCTGTTTAGGTCTTGATGATCCTTGGTGTTTGAATCGTATCGATATTTTACTAGTACCAATGACTACTTGTAATGCTCTAGAATAGCTATCGGTATTAATGAGTACGTCATTGGGTCCCATCACTGGTCTCGTGCATAAAATCGTGACCTACGTACCATAGAGGTATGATTTGTTGGCTAAGAACCTACAAACAGAAACCCCCGCTCTTATGTCACTCTAGGCAGTAGTAGAATCTCCATATTCACGAGAGATACATTTTTGTTCTATACACGGTTAATACCCAAAGCTTATGTCGTCTAATGTGATTCTATCTCACTTTGTCTCGATACGTTTCGTTCGCTAATTGTAGTTGCGATCGCCTCAGCCAATAACGAGAACGCGCGCGAGGGACAGGCGACGCTATTCGCTGTTACGCTACGGCCAATCAGCGCGCCTAGCCATCAAGTCATCTCTCTACGGTACATATAAGTACAGGAACATTCGCTTTCGAGAGACGAGTTCGACGTGTTCCATACCATAGGCGTCGAATCGGCAAATAGTTGCAGGATCTCTGAGAGGAATTTTATCAGCGGGTACAGTGTCTCTTTCGGGCCAAATTTTGTTCCATTTTCGTTCACTACGGTAGAACGTGAATGTAACATGACAATTTTCAGCTCTTCTACCGGTGCCCAGGCACGATGTACCCCTGGCCTAGAGCCTCTCAACGACCCTGAATAGTAACATTAATCGTGTATTCACCGTGAAAACGTAGACGTTTCGTGTCTGGAACCGTCGCGCAGTAGTTCGAACGACGTCTCTCTGCAGCTTCTCGCCTGGAAATCGGTAGACATTCCGAATCGTTTGATCAATATCCCGGCATCTAGCGCGACAGGGTGTAAAAGTTTTCGATGAAAACAAACGCGGTGTTCGGGAACGTTGGTCGACTTGCCGGGCGAGAAAATGAGCGAAACGAAACTGCCCGTCGGCGACGATGCGACGGACAGACGCGAGGCGGATTCCCCGAGCGGATTCTTCCTCTTTCCACGACAAGAAATAAACGACGTCGAATTAAAAACGTCGGGACAGACGTCTATGACCTTGACGTTTATAGTTTATCACGATTATCGATTATCGCGATTGGCCTGATATCAAGAGGTACGCGATCCAGATTTCCCATTCAAGATCTGACGCCATTTACGAAACATCCGTTCGTCCCGCGATAGCAACGAGTTTGGGGACGTTTCAATTTTTGCCGAATATCGAATACAAAAGATCCACGCGATCCTAAGAACGCAACGGTATATACACAGATTTTACTCGGGATTTTTTCGAAGAATCGTCCATTTTTCTAGACGAACGACCCGCGGGATCGCGTCGGGACTAAACAAACTGTTCCTTTCAGGGATATTCGAGGTCCATACGTACATCGACACGGGAGACACTGAATTTCACGCGATGCCGGTTACCTCTTGGCGTGCTCTCTTTATTTTCGTATTTTTAACTCGAAGCACACGGTCGGATTGATAACGGCCGTTCTCCCCGTTGCAAGACAATCTTATCGACGACTTGCGTGGACGTAGATTCTTTTCCTTTCACCGCGCTACCTCTTGTTAGATTTCGAATAGAATTGTTTACGGCGCGTTGAGTTCGAATCGGGATCGTTACGACGACTCACAATGGTACGAATCCGGGGAAACGCGATAAAATATCGCTGCGCTAACGCTTTATTGTTTTTCGACATTCGGGGTTCTCTTGGCTCCCAGAATTTAATTCATCAATTTTTAGTTAAAGCATCTATTTGAATAAGACGAACATACATGGGTATAGCAATATATTTTTAACGTTTATTTTATTAAATCATTAATTTTATTATACAATTGATATTAATAGCTTTTTTTTTTATTTGTTATTTAAAATTCTTTAAGATAATTTTGCTCATCTTTGGGTAATGAATATATATGTTGATTGATTTTTTATTCTTTAACTTTGTTTACAGGTGTCCTCTTGGGTCGTCTTATGCCATCTTTAGATTAACACGTTCGTTGAAATTGGGAGATTGTTTGTGAGGTATAATTTTAATTTTGTTATTTTTTAGCACTTTTATGAATTGCATTCTTCAATATTTTAATTATTTTCTTTCTATATATTAGTTTATATGGATTTTGTGTTACAGGGCTTGTTAGTATGAAATCCTTCGGTTTGTTTTGGGAAATTTTGTTCCAGTACGCGAATGTAAGTTTATTATATTATTATTTCTCATTATTTTTGTAGTACACTGTGCTGCATTATACTACTTATATTTCATTAGATTCTATATGTGTTTATTCTTTGCTTTTTCACAATTTTTTTTTTTGGAGAGAGTCAATAATAAATAAAGCTTAATCTCAATATACTGTATTGCTTTGTACGATTTTATACGAATTTATGTTATTGAAAATTGAAGAATAACATTGTCAAAAGCAAGTAGAGACAGCGTTAATGTGATCGAACGAGATTCGATTTTATATGTCTATAAATAATCGTTAAAATGTTCATTTTCCGAGAACAAATACTCTTCTTTTCCTTTGTGTTTTGTTTTATTTTCATATATTCTAGAATCATTTTTTTTATTTCCGTTTTCACACGCCTGACAAATTCTACATATTTATCATAGCCGAAATAGGCAGAGTTTCATTCCAACAACAAATAACGTATACAAATTCTGTATTGCAGTGAATCATTCGCCGCGTTTAGCAACGATAAATTCAACAGGAAACAAATTGATTGTGCAATTTAATTTGATATTTTTATCGAACGAATCACAGGTCAAAAATAGTTTATTTGTCCAAAGATTTAAAAACAAAACTTATTTATTATATCTAACGTGTTCAACAGATTAGGAAACGAAACTTTTTCTCATAGTAGAATTGTTTATTTTTAATTTTGAATGTTTTATTAAAACGAGAGTTGTGCCCATCTCTGTGCCATCGAAGTAATTTCTCGTACGTTATTCATATTTTTTTTATTTATATATTTATGTAACGATTAATTTACACGTTTTATTTTATACAAACATGAACTATTTGTATACAAAGTTTTTACTCTTTCGTGTTTGTAGCATCATTATACGTGGAAGATATCTCTTAAAGAAACAAAATTTGTACAGCCGGTGAACAAGTCGAAAGTTTCGTACATTTTTAGGCAATACAGGGTGTTCGGCCACCCATGGGGAAAAAATTTTAATGGGAGATTATAGAGGCCAAAATAAGTCGAAAATCAAGAATATCAATTTTTCGATTGAGGCTTGGTTAAAAAGTTATCAAATCATTCTGAAAAAAATTATTTTCGGTTGCGGGGCTCAATTACAATCATTTTTGGTGAATAGATATACCCTCGAAATCCTACGCATTTTCGAGAAAAAAATTCGTTACTGAAAATATAATGTCTGACCATGACCGTCCGTTACCCTGAAAATTGGAAAGTTTCAAATAATTCTGGAAAAATTATTTTCGGTTGCGGGGAGCAATTACAATTATTTTTTGCGAATAGACATACCCCCGAAATTCTAGGCACTTTCGAGAAAAAAATTCAAGTAGGTGTTGAAATTATTCGACCAAAAAAAAAAATTTCAAATCGTTCTGGAAAAATTATTTTCGGTTGCAGGGGTCAATTACAATCGTTTTTGGTGAACAGCCATACCCCCGAAATCCCGCGCATTTTCGAGAAAAAAATTCAGTACGGGCAGAACTTTAAACATTAATAACTTTTTAACGAAGCCTCGATCAACAAATTGGCATTCTACATTTTCGCCTTATTTTGGCTCCCAGAATCTCCCATTAAAATTTTTCACAGGGGTGGCCGAACACTCTGTATGGTTGGACCACTGTGCGATTGTCGTTGTGACAGTGTAATTATAGATTACTATAGCAGCGTCGAATCTCGACCGTAGTCGAACAAAACATCGTCGAAGACGAAAGATAGAAATTGATGCGATCGAGGTGTTAAATTGTCGTTAGTAAGTGTCCAATGTTTTCTGCGTGTAGGAAAACATTTTTTCCATTTTGGTGTCGCGTTTGCGGTGACGAGAGTCGCGCGATCTCGGATGGTATCCGTTTTATTTTGGAAAACGAGTGCTTCAACGGTATTCGCGTTACCTCGACGACCGTATGCTCGTATAAAACAGCAGGACGGGGACCGTGACAGAAATCCGGTTAGTTTAAAGCACTCCGAGCGGAACGTTGAAATTTGGCAAGACCAAAGTCGACCTTTTGTGCTCCGACGACCGAGCTGATAGCATGCCCCGCGTGTCAAAGAACGTATAAGCGATGGATGATCGAACCGTGAATTGCTAGAATTTCAACCAACCAACCAACCAACCAACCAACCGCGTTAGGTACACTCCGTTACATCGCGAAGGTCATTCCTGTCGGTCTGCAAATGCAAAATGTCAGTTGCACTCTGGGATCCATCACCAA